CGCTTTTCGTATTTCCTGTGCATGACGTGCCACTCCATGCTCTTCCTCGCTTATGCAATGTATGAAAAAGGCAATGAAGGTGGTATGCCATGTACAGCAATGTCGGCTGGAAGCCTCTTGGAACAAAAAGACCCTTTCTTTTCTTTCAAAGAATCTTGTTGCCTCGTTGATGTAGCCTGACAATGTGGGGTCTGTTTTTGAAGGATGCGCAGTTCTTCGCCATCGCAGTATGCATTGCAGTAGCGGTCCGAAAAAGGGAAACGAACGGTTTTGAACACGTCAGCAGATATCCGCCTTGTGGAACAGCCATGTTATGGGGTTCATGGGGCGGTGGCCAGTCAAAACGACTAAAGGACGGCGATTGAATTGAAGCGACCGGATGGTACGACAGTGCAACTGGCAAGCGAAGTAAAGCAAAGATTGCTTTTGGCTCTAAAGCATTCCTTTGTTGGATTGCATGGAAAAGCGCGTTTCCAGGAACTCAAATAAAAATATCTTACGTCTAATCAAAAAATATCAAATGGTCAGTTATGTTAATACTATGTCGAATTGACGTAAGTGGGATCTGTTTGAATTCCAAAAGTGCCATTGTCGTAGAATGTTTCTAGCGTTCTGTTACTTAGCGAGCCTTAAAGATTTTAGGATACACTGCTGTCTCTTTTATACAGGTATGCAACGTAGAGCTTGTCTAAGGTAAAAGCGTATACGTGTAAATAAGCATTAGGATTCCCGTGAACACTACAGGGATACTGTCTAGTTCTCTTGCCCGAACGCGTCACTTTGGGTGATCGCTCTCCACGGCCACATGAACGACGCAGCACGCCCCAATAATCCCAGATAGCCAGTTCCGCAGTTTTCGCTTGCCCCATTGGGTTGAGCTTGCTTTTCTACCGAGTTTCCCTTGCTTTCTAATAAAATAACTTTTAATAAGGACGCAGTGAACTCTGAACAACGCGGCCCTCCGTTATCTTGAGGCTTGCCTTGGAAGCCAGGAAAAGTAATGTCGGCTTATCAAGCCGAACAACTCTGACTCTATTTGTTTTGTACTTTTAGCTTTGCAGATGCGCCATAGAATACTTTTCACTGAATAACTAACTTTTCGTAGACAAACCTCAGTTGTTAAGGTCTATTCATGGTATAGCATTCCTTTATCAGATGCGATTTTTCGGGTACTGCTGCCAGACAGTGATCTAGAATAATCGGTTTAAATCATTAATTTTAATGCAGCCTAAATGGTGAGTTCAGCCGTCCACAGTTCTAAAGAGAATCTGTTTAGAATACAACATATAATGGCGCTTTATGAGAGAAGAAGATTACAGCACAGACGAAATAAATTTCGCATAATCTAACTAGATTGCGTATTATAATTCCAAACTGACCTATTATACCCTACCTTATTATTTCCAGTGACTAGGTGTGACTTTTTTTACTCATTCTATCTATTTATTAACTCAGATCGTAAAAAGAGCCTTTTCAGACGTACATTTACCTCTTATTTTTCATTTCGCGTTAGTTACGCGAGCTCATTATACGAAACTCCTCGACCTAACGTTAACCTAGCTGTTTGCTTGGTTGAGTTTGTTCTGAGCCCTGTTATTTCTACCTGCCATAGGAAGATGCTGTGGTAGAAAGGTATGACACTGCCGCCTCGCACCTCTAATTCTCACAGAGTTGCTTACTTGTCGTTTTGTCCCGCGGACCTGCAGTGAGTAGAAGCAGGTGTTAGGGCAGATGATTCAAACGGCCTCAACCGGCGGCTTTTACAAAAGAGTAGTTAAACACAAAGGATAAACCAAGCTAAGCCTTATGACGATGATTATCACACACGCCAGCAAAAACAGCCAGCTGAGGGCCCCGAAAGAAACGTACATTATGTCCAATTTAGTAGGATAGAAATGCAAGGTTTTTGAACACGGAAAGGAGGGAGACGACGAAGGGCTTGCATTTGCGGGTTGACGTTACCCTGATGTTTTTCTACTTGCGCTTCCTCTTGTTTTTTTCTCTTGCCCCTTCACATTCTCCTTCTTTTTGCGCTCTAATTACTTTAATTATGCTCTGTCCGTCTTCTCGTGTCGTAGCCGTTCACTAGGGCATCGGTTCCCGCGCTAATTACACTTCTGCTCTTTTGGTCGTTTGTCTACCATACCCATCTATCCATTTACACTTACGAGAGGTCACGTAATGTAAACTAAAGGAACGACGCTTCTTGGTTTCTTACGTCTGTCACCAAGCGGAGCTTGGTAGGCTTTCCAGGAGGTTTACAAGGCTTCGTGGGGTTGTTGATCGCTTGCGTCTTTGAAACCAATGTTTTCGTGTTGGCAAAATTAACACCTAGAAGTTCAGGAAAGCAGAGGATGAGATCGGAGGGATAAAGTTTTGACAATAGATTCACAGCTGCTGAAACATTTAGCCTTCCTATGGCTTGGCTTGCCGATTGCATATAGGTTGTCTCACGAAGCTCCGTGTCGACTGTATTTCCGTCTAGGTGATTTTTGCCAATTTCATTAATATGCCGTTACAAAACCTGCTTAGCAGTTCGCGCGGCAAATTCAATTTTCTGCAGTAGTTAAGCTTATATTTTAGCCTATTTGCATATTTTCTACGAAAATCAACGAAGCTTAACTATAGCTTTTACTCATTTATCTAATACGTTTCGTAACAACGTTTAATTAGCCCTCAAAAATCGTAGATATATTACATTTAATTGTTTCGCTTAAACGCTCATTATATTGTATTTTTTTAAACAAAATTGAATAATTGGTTAAATTGGAAAAATTAGGTTGGTCAGGATATTGAGTGCTGTATTAAGCAAAATTACTCTATATACGCTTGTGCACATTAATTTGCTTGCATATATATGTAGATGCACACACACATATATATATATATGTGTCTGTGTGCATCCACATATATATATGGTATATATATATATATATATATATATTACGATAAAACACATTTTGCAAACGTTGTAAAAACAAAAAAATACGATGATTTGCATCTTTTCGATTCGGTTTCGTCACGATGGGATAATGCATCATCACTGTAGTAAATGTTCAGAGCTTCAAAGCTTTAACGGGCAAACCCTGTGGACACAGTAGAAGACGCATGTAAATAAAAATTTCCCATATATAACTACAGTTCATAGGCGCGCACGCATTGTATTTGGCGCCTTTTGCAAAAGCCGTGGTTGGCTTAACCTGGGTTCCCTGATCCGTGACCCGGTTCGCCTTATACATCTTAGACTTCGAGTATATATGACCAAAAACGCGCACGAATTTGCATGATTTCTCGCCTCTTCCCACTATTCGTTGCTTCAAGCGATATGTAATATATATAGCCACACACTAAATCAATAACGTAAACAGTGATGAACATGAACGAGTTATCATACTCCAGTCTGGCTGTGACGTCAGCTGCGGAGTGCAGCAGACGTTACACGCTTTTGCCAGGCCATGCCAAAAAAACGAGAACTGAATGAGCTCATATATTATACATTTTCGTTTGTTTCTTTGTTGCTAGAGCGCAGGTCGACGCGCCATGTAAACGACACTGTCTAGCTGGATGAGTCTTTCGGTACTCAGCTCCATTGTTACCATTTCTCGACGTTCCGAATTCATGTTTACGTGAAAGTTTCTAAGAAGTGGACGGGATTTAAAACCTGAAACTATTATAAATGACAACGTAAATTTCGAGCGACGTTGCCATGAAATACCAATAAGGGAACAAAATTCATAAACGATAAAAGGCTGATGTTTTGATCGAGTGGTCGTAGGTTAGGCTCAATTTGCGGTGCTTCTTTTTTCTGTTCGGAAACAGCCTTCGAGGGTAATGCCGATTTGGGAAAGTCTATGGGTATACTTGATTTTCAGCGTGTTATTAACTGATTAGAATGTAACAGGCTAAGTTCGAAACGTTTGCGCTAATTCGTAAGCTGTACCATTTGTGCATTATTTCTACCATTCATGAAATAGATCATTGCTGCAGGAGTCAATAGGTGAAGAATGGGAGTCAAAAAGTGAAGTTAATCTACATATAGTACTGTCATTGTTATGGATCAAGCGCAATGAGATCGCTAGAAAACATTATGAACAACTTAAGACAACTTAGTTCCAATATCTTACCTTTTATCTGATGTGCCCAGCCATATATCGCATACGGTGGCTGTTTTTGCTACGTCAGAGGCAAATATAGATCTCATTTCTTGCGAAACCTCGTCTGGCCTCCTCGAACCCCGCTACGTTCAAGCGTTATCTTATTCAATAGCTATAGTCTTGGATAACCGGAGTAGATACTCTGAAGTCTCTATTCATCCCCATAAACTCCAAAATTTACTAGATGCCTTGAAGGTTGAAAAACGATGGCCCCAGGGGATGCGGAAGGATGTGTGTCGATTTACAATGCTTGGGGTAGTTTTTTCTATGACGCCTCCACTACGCTACAGATAGAAATATTCTCATTATCATGGTGAAAATCATGAGCTTTATCTTTAAGTTCTCACTAAGCCATATCATAATAGCAGTGTTCAATAAGAAAACATTTAAGCGAATTTATTAATACTTTTTAGGGCCTTCCTTTTAAACTGCGATGTCAGTCGAAGCTTGAAACACGTTTGGTGAGTAGATAACTTATTGCAGTTTCAGACTGTTCGTATGTATAAATCGTATAATTGATACATATCAGCCATGTATGGAAAACTTAAAATAAATGTTTCAAGTTTTGTCCCCGGTGCTGCCGTGGGGTATTGCTTTGAAGGGCTGGTCATCGGCGCAAAACAAGGTGTACCAGGTCAAGTTTCGAAACTAGACCTACCTTCGTATCTCTCATTTTGGTAGACAAACATCTTACCGCTGCATTATCGCAGAAACTAATATCGAAGTCCTGGTGGTAAGCAGCAGATTTGAACTTGATAGCTAGCTAGGATCGTTGTCTTTGTAATTGTCCATACATGATCTTCCACATAACAATAACTGAAAACAATTTATTTGACGGTAAAAATATTAAACTTTATTTCTTCTTCGATTCTCATTCTCGTCTATTTAATCTTCAACATGTCATTCATCATCGGGGTGATACCTCATCACTATGCAATGGCCCATCAGAATTGTATATTCTCTCTTACATATAATCAGCTTCGTCGGAACTATCACCCATTCATCTACTGTTAAAGGTCATTATATCTAATTAGTAGCACAATCTTATCTATACACGTTGTTGTTGTTGTTGTTGTTATGACTAAGGCATCGGGTGACGCCTGCCCCAACGCCTAATCAACACAGACTAATTATTTTAACACAAACCCCCGACAGCGCCTCTGCGACGGTGTCCCGATCAACCATTCAAAATCCCGGTCGTTATGTTTTGCTTGAGTCATTGTGTTTAACAACACTTCATTATTATTAGACACCTTTCCGACAGTAGCTACGTATAATGCGCTTTTTTTGATTTTATTTCATAGTTTGCTTTCTGAATTCAGTTAGTTAGACACAAAGAATTCCATAGGTCACCCTCCCGTTTTTTCGGCCCAATTTGCCCACTTCCGCAGCCCAAGATAAACTAGTTATGTGGTTTTTGGCGCGAGTTCTGTGTTAATGTACACAGATATGCGTACAATAGAGATCTCGACGAGGTTCGTTACGTTCACCTAAAGCTTTGTTTTTCGCGTTTTTTTGCGCTGATTTTTCTTTTGAACGACATACTTCGCGTCTTTATCGAACGAACAGGCTGTTTATTTACATCTACAGTAAATGTTCCTGCTCGTGCGCTCTTATTTGATTCATTTTTCTCTACTTATTGTTATTATTATTATTATTATCATCGTATAAGACAACAGTATTTCTTTCAAATTTATTTTATGCAGAAATAATGATTCATTAGGTTGTTTACTTCTCGAACAATCGTTTATACATACGAGATCCGGCCAAGCAGAAGCGCTCCAAAATTTAGTAGGGCCAGTTCTAGTTGTTGAGTCAACCAACAATGGTGGCAGTCGAAGCTCGTCGTTATTATTGAACCACATCATAATTGTGCCTCACTACCCACCTAATTTGACAAAATTTTGTCTTCGTCCAACCTATACAATCGGTACCTCAGTTAAACGAACAATCGGCTAACATCTCCGCCATATCTGCCAGCTTTTTCAGATACTAGTGACGTGCCATTCCGTTATTAAGACGGTACGCGCCAGCCGCTCCCTCATAAGGCTGCAGCCATAACTGTCCTTGTAGCTGCTTTCGCTGATTTTTGTCTTCGATATTTACATGACGCTTGAATTACTAGCGATCGGAGGACGCTCAGCTTAAAATAATCTTACTCATCCCCTATTTGTTTTACCCTTTCGACTTGATGTAATCGAAATTAACTTACTTATTACTATCACCATTATAGTCACTGCCGCTACTATTCTTATCTGTTCGGTTTGCTTGCTAAGCTACGAACGAACTTCATTTTAACGGAAAATTATCATAAGAACTCAATGGTCCCTCCCGCTTTGCTGTCTGTTGTCGTAGCGGTTGCGCGCGAATTTTTCTGGGTTGATCGACGGAGACGGCATAAAAATGATGATAGATATAATAATTTCATTATTATTGCTAACAGTAACATTATTACAATTATTATTTATATTTACTGTCACTAATTGTCTCAAAAGGAACGAAGAATGGTTCATGGATAGTCTCAGCATTGTATCAGGCAGACGAGTTTGACGGACTTTGAAACTGAACAACTTTTGGACTAGCTAAGTTGGAATGATAGTTTCTGAATTTGCAACAGAGGTACTGTCCTTCAGTTGTTTCACAGCTTCTGAATAGCCATATATTTACCATTCGCATCCCTAGATGTAATTTCTCCATCTAGGACTTTTGGAAGTAAATCGATACTGGGGTATGCTTGTCCATTAGTTGTCCTTTTTAGGATATGGAAAGCCCCCTGTAATTATACAGACTAAATCCGGGAAGTAAGCGAGTTGAAGTCCACGTTGGATATTTCTTCGCTCAATCCAGGAAATCATTGAGGCATGGCAATTAGGTCTGGCGTTGTCATTAAGTAATCAGACTGGGTGCTTTCGATTGCTGTGCCAACGGTCCATGAGACTCATTAAAGAAACCGATGCCTCTGATGTCCATGGCACATACTGCCGCCACCTTATGTCCAAACCCGCTCAACACTGCTACCGAATTCAATTTCTTTCCGGGGTGACGCCATTCTTTCGCCCGGTGCCTCTCCGGTTGTTGATAGAGCTCGAAGTACGCCTCGTCTGTGGCCACCGCGTACTCCAAGCGGGATTTTTGTTGGTACTGCAAATTGCACGTGGAATAAACTATTTTCTACTTACCTGGAATCAATTCACGGGAATTCATTGGTTGCTCAGTTTCTGCATTTTCAGTATTTGAGTTAAAGTTCTGCGCCACGTTACGCCTACGTGAAGCCGCAGTTCTGGTCGATAGGATCTTCAGCTTCCAAGCTCTGCTTTCGTGAAGAGCCTTCTCCATTACGGCAATGCACTTTTGACTAGTGAACGTTGATTTTCGGAAATGAAAAACGTTTTCTCTTCTGAGTAAATTTCTGCCGAAGTGAACTCACAATTTTCTAGAAGGATGGAGCATTTACAATCCATATTTCGTTTGCTGACAGCACGTAGTTCAAAAGTCAGTCAATTTTAAAGTCCGCCGTGTTTGTCTGCAACAACCTAACAATGAACGGGGTAAAGAATTTTAGACGACCACCTTCAGGGCAGCGACAAGGCCACGTCATCTAATATGGGCTAATCCACACTACAATTAACCCGCTACACCGCTTACAAGTATATCGATAGCAGATTTAGGGAGTGACAGCTGTTCACTCGGTCTGTTTAAATTGCACGTTTTCACCTGTCTCTACACTCCCACTGTGCGGACCTGCGAACTTGATCGGCTAAAACCTACCTACCTAATGACGCCATTAACCCATGTAGCCTTAGAAAGACCATATGCAGTGCAGCGATACTCAAATCAACGAAAGGAAACCAACGTTTAATTCGTACCACCCTTCGCCGTCTAAACGAGTCGGCAAGTTCTGAATGTATAACATATTTTTCAGAGGATTAATTTTGTTATGTTTCCATTCCATGTGTTCTTGAACGATTTTTGTAGCGTGAAATTTCCTGATACGACATTCGTGTACATCTAGATCCTGATAACGCGTTAGTCATATCTAAATCGACACCTGTCACTATCGGCTGACTGTATGTGATCATCGATGTTAAGAAGGGGCCAGTATTGAAAGACAGAAATATCTGTGGCTTACAATACTTCTTAATTAGATAGATGTGGTATGGTAGTCGATCGCTAAGACTATTCGTGAGGCCATCCCCGCCGACCTTGCTATTTTGCCTACTATTGCTTTTCGTCCACCAGCTCGTAGCTTACTGAGGTGTTTGGTAATGAATTTATCTCGTTAATACACTCGCACTAGATGTGTTTAACACCGCGCATCACCTCATATTTTGTTATTGCACAGCTGAGGGCCCTTTCTCTTCCGTACATTTAGCCAGCTATCTTAACACAATCTTGACTTAATTACAAGTCCGCGCGTTATCTCCACACGAACATTTCTTTAACAATCCCCGCATCGTATAACATCAGGAAATTGGGGTTCCTATTTACACGGATGTCTGTACGTTTATATGTTTTTTATTATAATATCCTATTTTTAACTGTATCATTAGGGTCTGGGCGTAGCTCGTCTGTCTCGTTGCTTTTATCTTCTAGTTAACGAAAGGCAATAAAAGTAAAAAAAAAAAAAACATTGTATATGTATGTTCAGATTGACGAATTTTAGTACTATTGTTACCTTATCCAAGTCCGACAAACAGCGTATTCACCCAGGACGAAGACATCTGCTTTCGTTCTATGTCATTCGAGCCCCTGTAACGAGGCTCACATCTTTAGCTAGTATCATACATCCGTATTGCAGTGGCGCGCAAATTTGAAAGTTAGTCACACCATTAAATTGGCCTATGGCAACCGCTGCCTACGCTGTTTGCTTTATGCATTCAATAACCTAAGCTACATATACACGATGGACGTTGCACGACGCGAGACATGAAGTTTATCGTGCTGTGTTTCAGTTAGGCTCGGTTTTATCCAAATCTTCACTCTCCTCGACGTGCAACGTCCGGCGGAGTCATATACGAGCATTCACTATCTCACAAATATTCGAGGCGGATCATACGCACGAATCATTGTTAGGCTAATCACGGCCACCATTGTAATTTCCTGTACCTTTCTTACGTCTCTTCTTTTCTAAACAACACTTTTCATGTATATGTTATCGATATATACAAATGTGTGCAGCGGCCCAATCCACAGTCTAATTCGGCGGTGTTGCTAATCAGCGATTCCGTGTTCGAGCTTAGACACCTGTTCCGATGATACATATACTTAGCCGGTATAATAATAATAACGCGTACATGATTAAATCTGCAAACTAATCGACATCGATGAGTCACGCCCCCTTCCTCGCCATTGTTGTGCTACAGTTAGTAATAATAAAAGTAGCAAAAGACCTCCGGCATCAGCGGACGGGCCTATTTGATCGAAAGGCCACACTTACAGCGCACTTCACAAAAGGAATCGTTTATTTTTTTTTTCCGTTTTGTCTATTTGATCAATTTAATATTGAAGTTTGTTTTAGCTGCCGCCGTTGTTGCCCATGCCATTGAGGTGTTTGCTGGTCCGCGCCGTGGGCTGAGGCGTCTTGAAGGCGCTGCCTGTTAGAGTATTCTGGTTGAGCATAACGGTCAGTTCCTCTTGAGGCGATAACGGAAAACAGACGCTGGCTTTTGATGGCAATCGTTCAGTGACGGTTGTACCGCCTCCTCCAAAACACTCGTCACCTGCACATCTGTAAATAAAAAATCGAGGATGAGGTTTATTGAAGCGAAACTGTTTACTTTATACAGCATATCTCGTTAACTCAACTGTTAATCAGAATAATTTAAATCTTTCCTGGGCTCTCTTCATTAGTTGACCGTCACAAAAAACTAAACATCCATGTAGTCTTATAGGGAATTCTGGGGCCTTGCCTGATGTCTCCTTACTCAGAATATACGTCGCTCAAGGGGCTAACTGCGTTTATAAATAGATCTATGGTATGACTACGGATATATATATAGGTAGAGATGGCAATCATTAAGGTCTAGCCGACAAGCTTATTTAGACATTTTAGTTAAGCAAATAGGTTCGAAGCAGAAACCCGAGCTAATTAATAACAGTAACCTATTAATATTCGTCCGTTCAATTTACACTGTTAAAAGCTGTGGGAGGTTACAACGATGGATCACTAGTGACAAATAAACCTTTTTTAAAGCATAGCAAATTGACGCGTATCTGATATTTCCTCTAGGCGAAATTTTATTTATAATATATATATATAAATAATTATATATAAATCTAAGTTAGTAAAAACACTTAAACCAAGTTTGGTAGTGCTACATATTCTTTGGCAAGGTGGCGTGACTGTGAGGCAGTCACTTAGCGCTGTTACGCGGCCCATTTTCGTATATACGATTCTGGCCGTCGTGGTGGGTTGAAGCGTTTTTGGGTTTCCAAATGAAGTATGTTTCCGACCACATGATGACGTTTGCTTATACGAACTAGCAATAAAGCGCACGCCACCAGCCCTTCTGTAATATATACACGTCTATACATACTGGCGTCAAGCCGTTTTCTACATTTGCATTGAAATAACGACCTAATGTGTCTGATTTAAAGGCTAGTGTACACAGAGGAAACAGGTCCCTGGTTCGGAGTGCAAATACTTTCAGCAAGTGACTGCAGTGTACACACTATTAATAATCAATGAACGTATCATTTTTTTATTTCGTATATTTTGAAAAGATTGACAAATGACAGGTACGTTTGCATACAAACTACGTTTTGTCTAGAATATGGGGGACAGGTGGGATTTTGGCACCCACACAGCTGCAGTTTGGGTCTCGCTCGTTTTTGACTATCCTGGCACACATAATAGTTTTTCGTCCCTTGTCGTATAAGCATTTATGGCTATGGTGTGCCGGTTACCAAAAACGTATAGCCGTTGCGCGCATGGTGAAAGCTGATGGAAGTAAATGCCGAAGCGTTCGTTTATTGTTGTACAAACCTAATATGATTACAACGGCCGGGTGTCGATCCTTTGCGTCTGGCTACGGTCGCGTAAGCACTCGCCGCAGACATCGGCATGAGATCTCGCGTCAAGCTTGCGCTGTTCTTGCGTCGCTCGAGCGATGAGACTCCGTTCGAGCACCCTTGACGATACGAGCTAGCTATGGAAGACGACCATTCACTAGATGAATCTTCACTCGCCTCAGAACTCTGTAGATTCGGTGCCCGTTGGATCCGGAAGGGGGTCGAGTTCATCCAATTCGCTCCGTCATAAGTTTGACATACTAAAACTGAACATAGAAAAAAAAGTTGCTCAAGAATACATGTTTGACTTCGGTTCTGTTTATCCTTCCTGTGACTGCACCAAGGTACGCTAGAGTGCCGCTTACTTGAAGTAAAGTAAGTAAAGTGAGACGACCTCTACTTGGGTTGATATAGATATAATTGGTTATCGAAAAACTACTGACCGTTTCTCTAATTAGACAGCTTGAAATTTATACATCAGGTACTATCAATCAGATCGGCGTCGGTGCCACATTAAGGCTAGATGTTGGCAGTGGTTCATATGGTTAAATTGTTAGAATAGAATAGATACTGCGCTCAGATTTACGACACACTACCTGCTCGATTTTGTAACTTTATTAAGATAAGGGCACAACTTCTCTCTAGGCACATAAATAAAATTGAGCTACATACAACCGATGCATTATTAGAAGAGATTGCCCAATAATGGTACTCGCGGTTTTGTTGTGGAAAAAATTAATTGCAAAGTTGATGGAATCGCTGCGAACGGTGATGAAGTCTGGCTCGTGCATAGCCAAAATGGCGTTAAAGAACTAAACATCCATCAGTAAACAGTTTTGAACCACTCAAGGAAGGGTAGACACAAAAACAAACTCGATGTTTGGATGTGGCACGAACTCAGGCACGAAAACAATTTGCGCGATTCCTATTCCTATTTAGCCGACTCTACGGGCACGCAACGAAACTGAGCTATTTAGGAACGGTTGGCCACGGATAATAAACATTTAATCAATATACAAAAGGAAAGAGGAAATAAGAATAAACTAAGTATGTTTTACAATGAGCTCAGGCTGACGCTAAAGAAGTTGACGCTACGTGTTTGGCGGGGCTGGACAAGAAGTGTGCATTATAAGTAAGTTGGTTGTTTGGCTGGATGATCTAGCCGGACCCTACTATTAACAACTAACAAGATTACTACAAGTTAATGGAAAAAAAAAAATCAACTCAAACTGGTAAGCAGGAAAAGTGTTATTTGTCATAAATGCCATAATAACGCCAGACAACAAACATCATTAACTACAGAAAAGCCAGATGGGAGATTTTCATAGTCCAGATCTAGTACCAACAGATTATTATCTGTTTTGGTCTGTGCAAAACTTTCTTAGTAGTATTTAGTTTTAATAGAGCGGCACGAAAGTTACCTATCACAATTTTTCGCTCGGAAACCATAGAAGCTTTAAAGAAGCGATTATATATAAGGGAGGATAGCAAATAATCATTGATAAAAATAGGGCATATTTAGTTTAATAAACTTATTTTGAGATGTAAAAAAATTGACTTCAATTTTGGTTCGGTCAGTACTTTTTCAGTAAGCTATAGTATATATACATATGCTCGGCACTCACTCTTGTTTCGTGGACAGAGTTCTTGGTATGGATTTTGGAGTTCGTCGAATAGTCTGCAAGAGGTCGTGAACCTAACGTTAAGACTGAGTATTTGACAATAGTAGCACACTGAATTTACTTACTAGATATGAATGGTTCGCGATTACTTGAAAAGCAAAAAAAATCAAGGTAAGTTTAAGTTGCTACGCTGTGGATGTGCCCCTTTGTATCCCTAGGGTCTTGTGAAACGTTTACTTATTATCTAACGTTATTAGAAGATCATAGTTATTAAGGCAAGTACTACGAATTCTACGGCACATGTCTGTTCAGTGATAAAGCATCAATAATCTGCAATAAATTTATGAAGATATAGAACTATTCTACGTAGTGTAATTTTCCAAGTAAGACATTGTCTATCTCTCTCTCTAGTATACGAAGGTTCCGGTGATATAAAACTATTTTACAATTCCTAGGCTGTTAAAAGGCCATTTTTAGCAAACAGTTTGAAGTAGTACATCAATTCACAGTAAGGTTGATAAAAAGTTGCCAAAAACGATATTGGTAGCTTGAAAGCCTAGATGTGTAATATTGTAGTAGTTCAATATAACCTTTATCGTGCCCCACCATAAACTATCTCGTCGGAAAAGCTCGACAGAGGAAAATAAAACATTCATTAAAACAGTCAATTTTGTTTTCTTTATTGACTTCCGTCTCTGCTCAATCCGTTGGGTTCTCGTAAGACTCTAAAGGTGGCTAACAATGAAGGCCAACTAATCTCCAATGGCCAGGCGATGAATTCAATGCTACAGTATAACAGAAAGGTCAAGGCAAATACTAATATGAGGAAAAGCGAGGTACCCAGCGCTCGTGGAAATAGAAACGACGAGATAGTGAGAGAGAGAGAGAGAGAGAGAGAGAGAAAAAGGGGAACGTAACGATGCAATGCTATTGCAATAATTATGTCTAATTACGTGAGTTACGAGGAGCTCGTACTGCGCAGAGTCGAGTCGCTCCCGCTCGGTCCCTGGGGGTCCCACTCCGTTCGGTCCTGTGCCGTTGACCTGGCCCTGAGGCCCACCGCCCGGGTTGCCGCCTGGACCGCTACCACTACCGCCGCCTCTATGCCCTGGGTGGCCTAGTGTGTGGTGATTATGAACGGCTCCGGGATGCATGGCGTGCATCTGGAGCGTCTGATGGGCACTCTGACCGCTATGGCCGAGCGTGCCTGCGATGGCGCTCTCGCGTCGTGCGCACACGTCTGAGTCCTGACTCCCGGCGACTCGGAACGTCGCGTACGGCGTGACAATGTCATCCTCATAATCTGCAAGAAGTAGCGGACCGCAACGGTATGCGTTATTTGCTGACGACAAAGATTAATGGTTACATGAACGCAACAAAACAGAAGTGAAATCTAATCATTTAGGCAAAGCCAAAACTAATTTAAGGAGCAAGCTAGCTATTCATATTTGATTGTTAAATACATTATGCATGGTACATTTTAGCTTCGTACAGCGTTTTTTTTTTTTTTTTTTTTTGTAGAAAGTAAACAAAAACGCATGTAAACGTGATTGCCTACAAATAGCTATCTACAAGTATTACTTACATTGTAATCGTGCATCCGGATTACGGACCAGCGTACAATGCTGCGACTGCATCGATACAGGCGTAGCAAGCTTCGCAGGGACCTGATACGTTGATGAAAAATTGTTAATATGTCGGGGGCTGCCTCCACTAAATAGTGTATCGCATGACTCAATAAACTTTTTCTGCGTGTCGCCGGTAGACGGCGCTCGCGTCCGTTCATAGAGGCCGCTGCCATTACCCAGCGGACTCTGTTGGCTGTCCTGGAGAAACATTAACTGTCGACGTCGAACGTAAACGTAGCCGCTGATCGTCAAAATGACGGTGAGCGCAAACACTGCCACAATGACGGGCACGACGATTTGCACCTCTTCGAGAATTGAGTTCGTCGCGTATCCGTCATCGAAACTGTTGGCTAACGCCGGCGCGATAGTTCCACCTGCGATAGTGCGGGTAGCCACAGCGTAGATGTGTACCTGGCTTCCGGCGTCATTTGATGCGGCCACCTTTATCTCGTACCATGTCGCTGGACTGAGGCCGGTTATCTGTGGGAAAAGATAGCGCGCACATTGTTTCAATTAGACTATAGGCAACGAAAAACAATTGACTTGATGATAATATTCATTCAAAGGGTGATACTGTACAGGCTAACATTCGCTTAGCGCCGTTGTCGATGACGATTGACAGCACGCGAGACAGAAAAATAGCATATTCGTCGAGGGTCTTTCATGATGCAGGTGTGCCTCCCGTACTGCCTGAAAACTCATTAATAATTCATGCGGAGCAGCTTGGCAGCTAACGGAAAAATGTTTCTTTTTTTTTTTTTGTTAGAAAGCGAAGTGACTGAATTTCGCTTCACATAAACACAATCGTCCCAAACTGCAATGACCTATATAACCCCACGTTAGGGTGCCTCCTAGGCAGTCTTGCAATATTATCCAATGCAATAGCTTTTATAAAACGTAACTTGCCTGCAGTTTACTTTTCGAAAAGTAACGCTGAGACAGGCGGAACTGTAGTAGAAAAACCAACTAGCGCTTTTACTTCTAAATTATTCAACAAAAGTTAAACGAGGTGTGAAAAATTATACCTAGCTTTTGAAAGTTGATCAAAGAAAAAACATCCAGTACAGCAAAGTTGTAAGAGTTTGATAGCACCAAGGTTTTAAGTTAACGTCCTTTTGCTAAAATGGCATGGAGTGGCCCACATAAGCTCACTTTCCTTTATATTACTACTACTTCGAGAGTACGTCGACGAACGAAGTAGCTCTTGATACGAGTCGAAATTTGCCATTTCACTTGCTTGCTTTATTATTATATTACTGCGGGTTCTTCTGACTGGTTGCAGGTTCGATTAAGCTAGACATTTGAACTGTGCGATCTATATCACCGCAGCGGAGCGCATCTTACGAAGCACCATGAAGTCCAGACTCACCGGGCTACACATGCTCCGACTATATAATGCAATCCAATATAGAAAAATCAATCGTAGCTGTAAAGGCATACGACCATTTGCATAAGAGAGCTTGAAAAGACGATCTAACGCTTTAGCCTATTAAAGATTGACGAAATTACTAGAAATGCTACTCTCAAACGTACCACAACGCGGTCTTGAGCCTGGTTGTACTGCACTTGAATCCATTCTCCGCGTTCATTGGACGCTTGCTGCTTTCGATAGTTGATAACATAAGCGCGCATCGGACATCCACCATCGCTCCAGGTACCGAGATCGAGTGTTATTGAGCTGTTGCTGGGCGTTGCAAAGTCGTCCTGAAGCGGTGCAGCTGGTACTCCACCTGTCAATGCATTCACGTATTGTATTAAGAATCCATGTAAGAGCCGCCTCCTAGGTGTTTTTTAACTTAAGAACATAGAATGCACGCAAATCAGCCCCCTAACCTAACCCCCTTCCTCAACGTCTCCTGCTAAATTACGTTAAAAACTTTTAGTTGTGTTGTTCTAGTACTTAAATTAAGAAGACAATAGAGTTTTGTTATACACCTTCTGTCTGGCCAGTGATGATATCGCTGGCCTCTCCAACGGCTCCCGACCGTCTCGTACCGACCAGGTACACCTGGTATTTAGTGCCGCACTGGAGGCCCTCGAGAAGGTACCAGTCCTGCTTGGATGAAACTTCTACTTCTTCCCACTGACCGCCAAACTTTCTTCGGTAGTGAAGTATTAGTTCTGCAAAGTTATAAAATAATAAATTGACATTGAGCACTTTTCTACGCCTTTCCTATTATATACACGTACGGTTTATTGACCAAAACGGTAAACGATGCTCTGCGACAAGTCTTATTTTTATTATTCATGGAAACGTCTGCTTACAATCTGTGGCGGACATCGTTGTCCTTGACTCCGCGATTTAATGCGACAAATAAGATCGACTATATAGGACCGCTCAAAAAGCGCATTTCTACCTGATACTCAAAGACCTCAACCGAGCTATACAACCTACAGCTTAAGAATAAGACGGTACAAAATAAACACTTCGTCCGAGATAGAACAAAGGACCGTCAGGAGGTCCTTACCCTTAGATGGCCTCGGAATACCGTAAGCATCTAATTGATAGATAGTACACAGGTAATATAACGGATGTAATCCAATGTAACCAGTGTAACCATTGTGGGCACAACGATTACTTGGCCGCTACATTAGTAGGGCAGTGAGAGTGTTGAAACTCCTAAATAGTCTGCTAGCCTCGACTTCGAGGAGGAACCTTGAAACTACAGTCGAGCCACCCTCTTCACCTCGCTGTCGTAAGCACGTGTTGCTCGAAACCTTCTCAGACCTCGGACTTCTCAGCGTCCTTATGTGCACGTTACGTCTAGATGTGTCGACAAGCTGAGGAAGACAGGTCGCGGGTGCATGCTCTATCTGACCCCTCGCTATGACGGGTCCTAGTAGACTCGTGGAACCGATGGCCTTCTGTCTTATCACCGGCTTAGCCCTAGTGACTGGAACCATCCGAGAACACTGCTTAGTGTTCTCGAGTATCTGTGCGAGTTCCTCCCTCCGTTGCTGGTGCCCGGCATTCGACCACGCCTACAGAGGTCCAGCGATAGAAAGAGGCTTGATGAGAGCCCTGGACTGATGAGTCGAGGCTTGGTTAGCGAAGTAGAATAATGCAGGATCAGGTTCCTCATCGACGGCCGCTACCAGCAACTATCTTCGTATTCTGCACTAGTAGTCATACCAGTAGTAGTCGCTTGAGATCGTTAATAGCAAACAAGCCTGAAAGACGAGCAGGTTGCCCACGAGCGCCAAGCCTTTCCCATGGGAGAAATACTGAACATGACCTGGGTACATGGTAATGGGGCGACTATGGATACGAGATGAACGGACAAACGAACCAACGGGGGAGGGGGCTGCCGAAGCGTGGAAGACGAGCCAAGGATCGAGCCATTCAGATGGCCGATACTTCTGCTGCTGTCGGCAAAGACGAAACATTGCTATATGTATCGCGTTGTATGAGAATCGGACATGCTCGTTTCTAGTTCGTCTGATCAGCGCTGAAGCTATAAGTAGGTAGAGAAAACGAGATATTGTGCGAGATGAGAAGCCATGGACGATGAGCTTCGTGCATCACGAAGAACGACCAGTAAAAAGAGCGCTACTGGCACTAATATTAAAAGGGACCTAATGAAGCATTTGTAGATTCGGAACGCAAAGTAAAATAGCAGTGGCACCTTGGCTTAGCCATGAGCAAAACTAGGCATGTAAATAGCTCACCGGTTTAGGCTAACGTCAATATAGTAATCCGTCCATTTCTTTACAGTGAATATAGTCAGAGGTTAGCCTTATGTGCAGCGAATGCTTGTCTCGGTCCCCTCCACGACCTTATAGGAAAGATATGTTTCACTCTTCAACAGCGATCTGTGTTACTCGCCGTGAGGTAGTTAATGGTCATGACTACTCACTGTAGAATAAATATACTGGTAATATTGAACCGATGCGGCGGCGAACACCTGCGCACGTGTCCGTTACCGATCTTTTCGACTACGATTCGACAACGCAGAAAAATGGTTCATCCTGGAACAAGCGTAGTGACATTGCTATATGGTTGAATTTTGCTGCTAGGATTAGGGGCGGCAGGAACGATAGATGAAGTTAACGCCGCACGAAGTTTCAGTACTATTGTGCATGAAAAATCCTGTATTTGTACATGCATATATCCGTACACACGTACAATACAAGTTTAGTTTCTCACTCGCTTACACCTAACTGGTTTCTGTTCCGCCGGACCGCAGGAGCTCGACAGCCAGCCGGTAGAAATACTCACTAAACATGGCGTTCATATACTTTCGGGGTAGATCCCATCTAATCCGGAGCTCAGAGGTGGACGCTGACACTACAGAAACGGCGGACGGTGCTGGAAGTAAGCCTGAAAAGAAAAGCGAAGAAGGTAAAGAAACGATCAGTGCGAGTCGACACTAGACGCCCATGCACAAGCCGCTTGTGGCAGTTACCGACGTATGAGTTACTTCTGGCACTGCTAGAACTCGACCACTGTTTCTAAGCTGCCATCAATATCAAGCCATCTACGAGAAAGTGACTATCTCCTAAGAGAGGCTGTGATACGTAGAAGCTGCCTTTAAGCTCTCCAGCTGAGGATGATGGATAAAAAAAAGTCAGGCAAGTTTAGTCGCAGCTTGCCTCACTTCTGTAGGGAGCACTTCGTCAGTGAGCTAAGTGCCTCAACCCATCGCGGAAGGAGGGTTCGGACAGGTTCCGGATGCTGTGCCATGCGAAGGAATACGGCGCTACCATGGAACCGTTTGTACGTGAAGCGTATATGTTTGCGCGGATCTGGCTGCAATGTCTGAGCTTGGCTTGGCATGCCCTGCATCTCCACCTACCCTCTTTCACGCCGATTTTCTAAATCACTCTTTCCAAGTGACCCAACGGGAGACAAAGCTAAGTCTCGCTTGCGAAAGCGGCCAATTGAGAAGAAAATAACAGGATAGACACAATAGGCTAAACGAAGGTTCTCTGGGAAAAGTCGTCCAGCCGGGACCCATTGCAGGTGTAGCATCTACCGTTAGTGGCAGAACATAGTAAAGTAGGAAGCGATAACTTTTAGACGATCGACTAGCTCCGGGGAGGAAGAGCTTATCAGCGCGTCTTGTCGACAGAAGAGCTGTCGCTCGTATATCATAAAACGTGCAGTCAACAGCTAATCCGCGCGCGCATTAGACGTCGTGCATAAGACGCTAGGCGCGTCATTCCTTTTTAAAGATTTGGCTTTAAAGCGATAGGAAATGAAAGAAATTGAGAGCAGGCTGAACGGCCATCCTGTGCAGCTTTTGTTTAGTGTAATCTCGCCAAGGGAATCACTTAGAGTGTGCTACGCCCGGATACGTATGAGCTGCTCGATTTCCCCTTAGTTAACGTCAGGATTGGGTATCGACCCACAGAATAAACGGAGGAGGGTGTTCACGATGATGAGATTACCGAAAAGATAAAAAATGGCTTGAATTGATCGTCTCTTAAATAAGTCGTTATTAAGCATTTTCGATCGATAGTATAGTTCGAAGTATAATAACGAGCCTGGGTGTTAGCATAAGAAACTCAATGTCGTAGAGAAGTGAAAGATTTAAGTTTTTTTGCCGAGTGGCTTTTTTTTATCGACCTCCAAACGTTGACCTGCTCGTTCAGATATTTATATACAAGTCTACGATTATGAAGTCTGCAAAGTCTCTTTCATTTCTTTCCTTTTCTTTCATTGTGAAGTTAGTTCAAATAGCAAAATAGAAAGATGTTTGTAAATGTGAAAAAATTGACATTATTTTTTCTATAATGGAGTTGCGAGATCAAATTCATCATTTGCTACTAAAAACACCAATACAATATTGCGGTTACTCTCGTCTACGTAAATTGCGGACCAACTGGATTGCCAAAAACTAAATAGATATTGATGAATTAATTTTTCAATTTAATTACAATTTATTATGATTACGGCGCAAACCGCCGCAACGAAAAGCATCGCTAAACAGCCACTGTTTACAAGAATAGCCGTAGGTTATTTAGGTTCTCTTTTCTCAGCATTCGCCTTCCAGCCCCGAATCCCTGCTGCCGCAACCTGTGTATTTGTATACTTGGCTCACGTCCATGCTCTTTTTTCCGTTTCGTGATAAACAACATTAACTAAGCTGGCGGCAAGTATCAGGCTGGCACGTGCATAGGGTAGCAGCCGTCCTGAAGAGGCTCGCGAACTATCCTCCACTGTATATGGCTGAACAGATCCAGGACGCAGAGACCCGGCTCTCGTATACAAATTTTATGAGTTTGTGCACTTATAAATCTTACGGCTAGCTCTGCGGGGGAGCCACATCGGTTGGGAAGAGCCCGCTTCTGATTGGACGAGCGCAATAGCTAGAGAGGCTAGAGGACCCCGCGCGTTCTGCTAAAGGAGGGCGTCAACGCCAAAACGAGCTTCTGAACGAACCAGATGAATGGACCACAGGCCGCTTCCGTGTGGTTTCTTCATGTTACGATATATTAGGAACCGTGATGACAAAGAGAAATAGTAAAGTGCAAATGGTCATGGCAGTAATTCGAAAAAAGGTACGAACAGTAAAAACGACCTAAGTGGAATTTTGGGCCAGGCGAGTGCTAAATTAAGATCGGAGTAGATTTGTCTGGAGGGCATAGGTGCAATGTACATTGGTAATAGACAGGTATTGCGAAACCTGTTTCCATCAGTGTTATGTTAAAATTCTATGAATACAAACAATAGATGAGAGCTATAACCTACATGACGACTTTGTCTGTAAAGCGATTTTTGACCGTTTCAATGTTTGATCTAAAATATATGAGTTTTAGCATAGGTACTCAACTTTAAGTTAACTACTCTTTTACCTTTAATTTGAACTTGATAGTTAATCTCATCCGAGCCATGTCGATTTTCCACTCGGCAAGTGTAATTTCCGGTATGCTCATCGCTGATCTCGCTAAGCAGTACCGAGCCATTGCTGAGAAGCTGGAATCGATTCTTGTTTTTGTCAAGTTTTTCCCCGCGAAAATTCCAGACATTCGAGCCCGGTGGAACACCGACGCTGAGGCAGTTAAGTGTCATCGAAGAACCTTTGGCTAGGAAGACCCGCTCCGAGAAAGACGCTATTCGGGCGGGAACTAGCAAATAAAATAGACAAAAAATATTATCAATACGACATTCTATAATGCCCATCATTTTTTTTGCCGATGTTGTGAATGTAGCGTTCATATACATACGTAGCTTCAAATAGCAGTTGGCTTAGGCAATAGATCTTTTGCCAGTAATATCAGTGTTGTAAGCACTGAATCAAACAACCTAAACACACGTTTTCAACGGAAAAACGTTTTACGTTCAGTTAAAAAAAGCTGGCAATAATTATCTCTCAAGGCTCAAAAGTAACTCACTAGTGTCGCTTGTTGACTGAGACATCACTCGGGTGGATTCGCCTTCACCTATCTGTGTCGAAGCGCTCACCCAAAACTCGTAACGACGGTTAAGCTCAAGGCCAGTGGCCTCAAAGTATCGTTGGGAAGCAGCGACCTGATGTTTGCTCATATTCTGAAATTTAAAAAGCCGTAATTAAAGTACGTTTCATAGAAGTTCGCGTTTTCATACTGCTTTTTTTTTTTCGAGTTTTGGTCGGAAGAGTAATCTCTGCAATTATATCCGATACGCAGAAATATATATAAGGTTAAACTGAATAATTTCAAATAATAGTTATGGTAGGTAAGCGAAACAATGGTTTCTTTTAGCAATCTACCAGAAACGGTGACCAGTTTATTCTATAACTTGGCATAAAACGCTTAAATTATCAATAGGCAAAGGCAAGATGGAATTGAAGCTAAGAATTTTTGTTGAGGCCGGCCTTCAAGTCAGCTTATTTTTCTCTGATAAGGCAAACCAATTGGTAGTGCCCAAGAACGTATTTAGTTACAATATCAAAAGAAAAAAGTATATTAAAAAAAAAATCAGAGCTTTTCTATCCAAGAATAGACGCAAAAATTTTTCTAAGACGGCGTCTTTAAACGTTACAATCAGCCAAGCGGTTATCCAGCTTACTCAACCAACAAAGGTTCTAACGTCAACTCATTCATTTCGCCGTCATCTTCGTGTTTCGTATACCCCCCTTCTTGTACATGTTAGGAATTGCCAAAACATTTCTCAATCGTTTCGGGATCGTCGGCTGCACCCCGTGTCCGTCTGCCCGTCAACCAGGGGTGTGAAATCCCTTCGAAGCAGAAGGACGATGTGCTGCTACTGCCGCTGATATAAGAAATTGTTATGGTCCGGCAGCAGCAGTAACGTCCACTCTTATAGCGTAATGTTGTAGATCTTTTCTCTGTAGTTAGGTGGGACAGTCGGACGGCGACCTGCGAGATGAGGGGGTAGAGGAAGGAACTAAGGTAAAAACGTGGAATGACTTCGGTAGCAAACGATTTTGAGAAGTGGGCTAATAGCATGCGTTCAGGGGGAATGCGTGTTTCAACGTGCCGTACGCTGACCATGTTAGCGGCACACTCGGAGGCAGGAGAAGGCAGTGGATGCGCTGGTAAATCTGTGAGTGCGTATACCTGAACTAGCTTTTTTGTGTGTGAGTTTGTATGCTTGTTGGTTTTTTTTTTCGGTTTGGCCCCATCATCCGGTTCAGCGTAATAACGGTGCTGGACGATAGTTCGTGGCTTGCTGTGCACTGTACTGAGGGCGTGTAGTGTAGCAGTGTTCTGAAAGAAGCTCTAGTAAATGGCTTACATGGCTTCCGTTCGGCTTGTCGGTGCTGCCTACGCTTCGCTGGTAGAGCGTATACGTGGTGATGACTCCGTTACACTCCTCGGGGAGCTTCCAGCTGACGAGGATGGCCTGCTTACGATACGGAAGCGCCTTGATGTCTCCAGGCGGTCCGGGAACTGCGAGCAAGCACCGGGAAACGACGATATATAAGGAAGAGGGTTTGAGAGCCAGCTAATGTAAAATACGCTCCTGAGTTTCTCATGCATGCCCTGAGCATCGGGTGTAGGCACAGACCAGCGGTGACGATGTGGTCTGAGTAGCTACGAGCCTCCCATGTCTGTGCTATGTCAACCTAGGCGGCGGGGAAATGCCTTCCCAATGCTCTCGAGAGGTAGCCACAGACATGCTGCTACACACGACAAATAGCACAAATTACACCTCTATACCACATGACGACAGACAGCATCGCCGTAGATAAGAAGGGACATAAAACTTGCGTAAGACCGTCCTTTGCCACGCTGGCGCAATTTCAAGCGTACAACTCCTCGAAATATTTATTCAGATTGCTTTAGATATGGCAACCATAGTATGATTCTACTGGTTGGCTGGAACACTGCAAACTACTAGCAATGATCATCTGGGAGCTGGCTCACTCGTAGGCACATATAAACACACATAAACAGATTTCGAAAACGAATCCGCCCACACTTGCAACAAGTAGTCTTGCCTGAGGTTTACGACCAGTACAGCATAAATAAGATAGTTTAAAGTAACGAAGTAAACTAGTAGAGTTTAATAACAGCCCAAGATTAGTAAGTCCTTCTACGATCTTTGCACGATTCTAGTGAAACTGAAAACGCTGGTATAAATATCGGAAAAAAACGTACCATCCTCTAATGTTTTACAATAGACAGGGTCACTTTCAATTCCATCACCCTTTCGCGTTCGAGCCAATAACTGGATGGAGTAGTTGGCAAATTTGGCCAAGCTGTCAAGGTTGTAGTCTTGTTGTTCGCCAGATTTGATCACTATCTCGAGAATAGGCTCGTCGTCCTCTGCAATATTCATACATTAGATCGTTTGCATAGATCGGAACATTTGAAAAAGTTTAATAAACCAACGGCGCAATGGTTTAGCAGCTGAACCTATAGCTAAGAAACCGAGGAGACTGGCACAAGCCCCGCCAATGGTATATGTGACCCGACAGGTGTGATTAAATAAACAAATACATCAGTAAAGGAACGGAATGCTTAATAAAATGAGCGTATCAAATGGACCTTACGAGTCAACATATAGGTGATTGGAAACCTCACCGTCTTCATGGGATTCAGTCTTTCGATACCGAATCTTGAACCCTTCGAGATGGCCATGCAATGCATTATGTGGCGGAGGACTCCAAGTCACTCTGACTTTACTAGACGATTTAGCCTCACAAGCGACCTTTCGAGGAGGTCGGCTTGGTACTGCAAGACATAACCATATATTTAGACGCTTGAAAAAAGTACAAATACATTTTTATTCAAGTTACAAACCGATTCTAAATCCTTCTAGACTAAGTATGCAAACAAACGGTTTACAAAACCTGCTAATGAATCTCACCGCCAATAAATGTGGCTTTTCATGTTAACCGAACTGACTCCTGGGTGCCAAAATGGAGCGCCCGTTTTCAAAGCCAAAAGCCCGTTCGGTTTCCCGAACAGGTCAGACGAATTTTTAATTTTCTAAAGATGTCTGGTTACGCCATAACCTAAATATCTATAGATTTCTGTTTAAGTTGAAACACCAACGCGCTATTTTAAGCCGTAATCTGTCAAAGCGTGTGTTTTGATTAGGTCGAAATAGGTTTTTTGCACATTTCAAACTCTCGAAAGATCATTCATAGCCCTGCCAATAACATTTATATTGTTATAACTTTGTATATACCAACTTAAATACCTACTACTTACTGTACTTCACTATAATTGTTACTTATAGCAATCCTAAATCTAGCAACTGACCATCCTCCATTGTTAGCTTGACAATAGGGTCTGAGCGTGGGCCGGCGCCTTTCTTATTGTAGGCCTGTATGCTAACTGAATATCTTGTCCACTTATGAAGTCCTTTAAGCTCAGTTTCGGTACGCGGTTGACTGGAAGACTTAACGTCAACCGTTTTGTATTGAATTTTCTCACCGGATGAGTTGTAACCAACATAATAACCAAGGATATCGCCATTGTGCATATGCACCGGGGGAGGCTGGAAAATCGAATACGAAATCCAAAATATCTTGTTATATCATAGATGTATAAGTGTATAGAGGAATGGTTTTGCATACACAAAGTGACACAAAACTTTATTGAGAATGAAAAAATTCATTTAATAGTTAAGGAGTGTTCATTAGTTAAATTCGCTACTTATTTTACGTTCTTTTGCTAATTAAGCAGATGTGATTATAAAGAGTATTCAAACACATTAGCCCCACCCTATATGTATATACGTCTATTATAAGCTTGCTGTGCCACATATAACTATTACTGAACGAGTTCTTCTAGATAATTCATCAGTTATTTTGCGCTCAACTTTATAAGCATAAAACATACATTTTCAATTTCTACCTGGATTTATTCAAGTTCTCTTCTTTGCGCCATTTTCACCAGCTTGCTCTTTGTGATCGACTCAAAAGTTCCTTAATATACCTTTATTTGCCGTCACGATATGCCTTTCTCATCGTCGTTTCAACAAGTCAAAGTTGGCTGAATTTCACAGTTTGCCCCTAGCCCAACCGTCCTTTCGACCTACAGTCGATATATCATAAGCGTATAGCGTACGAAATAACTCACCTAAAGGACAGCCTTCTTAGAGCAACTCAGCTCTTTTTAGGCTTGCCTCCCTCATCTCCGAATCGAGCAAAAACAAGCAGAGAAAGGGCGCTCTGACAGACGACACAGTGTGACCAATTTCGTCTAGCCTGTGTTATCGTAAGGACAACTGCACAGAGTTCAGCTAAACCACGACCAGCGCAGTCAGGACCACTATTACTGTTACTATTATGAGTATTACAATAATAAGTTATTTTTGCTTTCTCGAGGGATGGCACACTCCATGTGGGAATAACGACGGGTTTGGCTGTACACGACATAATTCACTCATGTTTTATGTCCTAAGCTGTGCTACTTTACTCCAGCTAAGCCAAACGGATCTGGCTGACAACGGCCTGGCTATGTGGCGTCACTGCGGCCTCATATCGCCTTTTCGAACGTGCATGTCAACCTAGTTGGCAGTGGGGTCGGGGACCGTGGGCCGCCGCTTATTGCGAATCTCATCTATGTCCTATATAGTGCCGCCTTCAACGAGTGATCTATTGATCGATAATTCTCACATTGTCATCCGTTGCACTGAGGACAGAAGATGACGGTCGGCTAACAAATGGAGAAACGTTATGAGATTCATGCGATTTACGATAAATGTTAATTCAATGATGATGACATTTACTCGTGAGACCACTGAACGTAATCTCGAAGAAAATTTACGATTGAGATAAAAACATAATGAATCATTACCATTATTGCTAAATTTTGGGCTCTGGTACTGGCGCGTACGAATCTTAACTAAAGAAAAAAATAAGCCGCTATCAGATGAGAGAATAAGCAGCATTCAATAACATCCCAAAAACACAATTTGTGGCTATGTTCAACCTGTGTACAAATTTTCTTCTATTTTTTCAATCGTCGTGAAGTACCTCCAACCATGCTTGTTTAAAAAAAAACTATACATATTTTCTCCTCCGAAGCTTATTCATGCTCTCGTATTGCTCTATCGTCTCACCTAGCTTCATTTAATTTATTTTGACGTAAATTCAAATTAGATCCGTCGTTTGTCCAGTGGCGAAATCGGATTTCATGTCCTCAGGGGGATCAGCCTACTTACCATCCATGAGACTCGTAACGAAGTCGAAGATGTTGGCTCAACGCTAATTTGTTCCGGGGGACCCTCGGGAACTATAGGACACAACGGAAAAAACAAGAAATATTAAATACTTAACACTGGCTCTGTTTGTCCTATCCTAATTGAAAATACGAAGTATTTGCCCCAAATACTTTCGAACACCGATATGAGGCTTAAGCTGTTTCCCTGAGACTGTATCGAGTATTTGATAATGTCGCTACTGTTTTAGGCCGTGTGTTTTAGGACTTCGTTTATTTATTCTAGAGTGTCTAGTATGTGACGACCTGTGTATACTGCTAACTTGGTCCATTGGACCTATTTGATTGCATAAATCTTTAACAAAAATTATTACGGCTTATCGTTCGGCGTTCGGTCACTGCTATTTCTCTTTAACGTTTACCTCACAACACACAGGAAACACGTTGAGTACATTTTATCGTAAGTAGATTTTGATTACCCTTTATCTAGCCTAGTAGGGACGAACGATAATCAAACGTCATCAAACCCTACATGAATTGTGACTGAATACAGATCAAACAAAACGTTCGCCTGCAAATCGAAACTGATAATCGGCGCAATACATAGAGCTCAGAATTTGTCACACGCGACGATGCGTGCATAAGGAAATACCAGTGCGTTTGAAAAAAGTAGATCCGCTTTAAACGCCTCACTCTGCCTACTGACTACGGACCCTGTGTAATGCTCTACGAGGGTAGTTTATAATGTCGCATGAATGGCAGCTTAGCCAATGCTGATTCTGGGTAATATAAAGGAATTTTGTAAATTCTAAACCAGCCAAAAAGGATTTCTAGGTATTTGTCTATTGGATATTAGCATTATGTTGAATATCGCGTACCCAACCACTATCTTGAATTAGGCTAACGTATTTTACGTTGCCTCTGAACCGGCATCCGCTCATTGACTCGCTGACTTGGTGTGGGGGCCAGATGAGTCAGGTCTTACTAAGTGTCGTAAAATTTACATATTGCGCCTGCATTACGCCAGCACCCGGTACCCAACCACTCACTGCAACTGGGTGCTCGAAGCACACAATCATCCCTGTAGAATGAAGCCTTCGTCGTCTCGCCATCATCCAGCATCAATCCGTTGATCCTTTATTTCGCTCCTATAAGTAAGAAGCTCGTGTTCTCTAGAATAACTTCAGCTCGATAACAAATGGCTGAGGACAGATGACGATTTCGAGCCCTTAGTCGCAGGGTCTCGCTTACACCCAGGCACGCTTCCTTGCCGCGAGCTTTTCCGCCCTCTTCTTCTTCTTTCCATTTCCTTGAACCTGGTCGAAATCATTGAATCTGTACCAGTACGAACGACATCGATTAAAAAATGATAATGGGAGCTAGAGAGGTGGGTTCATATTCTCGTGGAACGATGCTGCCAGCCGGGACAGAGAGAGTGCAGAAAGCAGCAAATTTCCTCGACTTCGGCCACCATCTGCGCAAATCGAGGTTCCGGTTCTGGCCTTTAGGTTTCCCGATGAAACAAAATATCAAACAAGGTCCTGCCACCGAATTCTATTGCCATCGTGGACCCACACGCGCTCCAGCTCGTAGACGGCGCCTGTTGCTGTTCAAGACGGGAATTGAAATTGGATTTGGATCCAAATGCTGTTGGCCGCTGAATGCTTAGCTTCTTGGCCCTGTCGGTAAAACTTGTAACCACATTTATCCTGAGGGCACAGGAAATCACAAAATGCCGCGTCTGTTAGCATAGCCTCGTCGGACATGGAGCTTAAGTGAAGAACAAAGCTTCACTCGAAAAATGATACACTACCGTGCTTGCCGTCCGTTCCTGCTGCGTTTAGTTGTTCCGTCACTACAAAACGGAAGTTGTTGCCGGCGCAAGGTTTAGTTATGACAGGTATCATTGCACTACTGTTGCTGCCATCTGCAAATGACATTCTACTAAAAGCGGGTTATTTACATCGGTTTCAGGATAGCGGTGTCGTCTGCATCGTTGGCAGTGTATACGTTGCGTTCATAGCACTTTTGGTTCCACCTTTATGAAGCCGAACGTGCTCTTCGTCCCCCTCGTTTTCTTTCACTATACGCGAAAAGGCAAATTTGCAATTGATAAGAAGACATATTGCTCTATATAAAAGTAAGAGATACCTGAGTTCTGGTGGTGCATTGTGTGATCACGTTAGGTTTATCGGGTGAGGTCAATGGCTCAAAGCGCGTATTATATACTTTAAAGGTTGTGTAACGATCTGGAAACCCACCTTCGCCCTCGGTTTGAAAGGGCACCTTGACGCTAGGCAGTGATTCCCCAACACCATTTTCAGCAATTATGACCAATTCGTACGATGACGACGGGCGCAAGTTCTTGATAGGAGATTGAGTCTCAGTTGATGTAACGGTCATGTTATGAGGCGACGTTAAATGCACACCAGATGATCCTAAATTAGTTTGAGAAATAAAAACGTCGTCGTGAATAGCAACCCTCATAGTAAGATATAGAAACAAAGATTGCTGTTAGAAAACTGAAAACGGCCCTCGTGTCTGTTCTAACAGAGAATATTTCATACGAGTTAACTGTCTGACGAGTACAATCAGGTCACGACGTTTATCTTGAATCGCGTGATAAAATCCCATGCTCATAACACGCACCGAAATCGATAACAACAGGTAATAATATACCCACGTGTCGTCTCCATTATTTGAATGCGGTACTGATTGATGAGGCTGTTTCCACTGAAAGGCGGGTCCCACTGAACTCGAGCGCGTCTTGAGCTAGACTCAATAATCCGCACGCTACGCGGAGGGTCAGGCGGTTCTGCAAAAGTGTTAGAGGAATATAAACATTTAGAAAAAAAAAAAGTTTCTCCACAACGCCTAATTTTAACAGGCTGATATATTGATATGTGGATGTACTGTTCAACGTTCGAATGGCGCCTAACAAAGCGGTTCGTTTAAGAATCCAAAATATTGTAGTCTTATTGAAGAATTCGCTTTTACGTGCTCATCTCTTGATTTGTACATTGACCAAATTTAGAACCAGCTAAACCTATAGAAAAAAAAATCAGTACAAGCAACAAATGTTGCTACACTGTAGAATAGAACTACTACATTTGATGCAAACGGTAGTCCCCCAGAAACTGTGGCAGCTGGGCTACAGACCAGTCTCATTTGTCCCCATAACTATTAACAGAAAGAGGCGGTAGAAAAATCCTCCCGTTATAGTTTACTTGGCCTTTGTCTAGAGTGGAACCAAACGAGCGTCGTTAGGCGTTGCTTACCCTGCACAACGAGCTGAATGTTCGTATCGTCTGTGCCATATTTATTAGTAGCTACACAGGAATACAGTGCTGAATCTTTGCGTCCGACACGGCTTAACGTCAGCTCAGACTTTGTTCCATCGGTGATAGGCACATCCCGGACTTTGGCCACTGCCAGACCTGCATTTTCAGTAGAGGCAAGACCTAACAGGGGTAGCTTGTCTTTATGCCATTGGATTTGAATCGGCTGGTCGCCCTTTACTTCGCAGGTTAGTTTCACGTCTTCATCTTTACGGACCATTTTTGTATGGAATTTGGTTTTGAATTCCGGTGCAACTGTTGAGAAACGGACAACGTCGATGTAATAACGAATCAATTATAATTATAATTATTATTATTATTTATGCCTCGATTGTTTTACGTAATGTACTATTTCATGTTATCACATCTAAAAAGTTACCAAAGTTACTCACTGACCGATCGAACGGTTAGCATAGGTCGTCAGTGCTGACCAGCAAAACTTAAACGAAAAACTTCTATCTAGCAGTCGGCTCTGTGTGATCGCTATTCTCTACATCTTTAAAACAAAGTAAATTGAACTTACTGTGAACGTTAAGCGAGATCACAGAGCTAAGCCCTGGACCGACATCGTTAGTCGCCTGGCAAAGATAAAACCCTGCGTCGTTCTTCGTTACATCCTGTATCGTCAACGATCCATTCTCATAGATTTGATAATGGTAACTTGTTGTAACGGGCTCATAATTACCTTGCCCTGTAATTTTCCATAGGCGCATGTATGCGACGAACACACATATGATCGAGACACGTATTACGCATGAGCGACTCATCATAAGTTACATAGTGCTATTCCTATCGATTTCTAATAGTACATGACTATTTTGTACAATGTTGTTGTCGTTGACATTAGCATTTGTAGTAGATAGCCGCGCGTCACACGCACTGGCTTTATAAACTTGTTCCATGACCATTACTATGCAATAAGTTCTACCCCTTGAAAGTCATATCCTGTCACTGTAGGCACATTTAGCCCTTCATAGTTACACCCTGTATGTAACGCTGCTCGACTAACGTCTACAGCTGAATTAGACTGTCATTTGTATAAGGGCAATAATCAAAAGGGAATGATATTAGTCTGCGGTTAAATCAAGCACGCCCATATCGGCAAGCCTTATTTTGCTGGATCCTTTCAAACGGAAACCTCTGTTCGTATACAGTGGCCTGAATCCAGATGTCAGAAGACTGCACGTAAGCTGATTGTTGTCCGACTGCTATAAACTATCCTTTCGCCTAGACTTTGCTTGACCCACACACAGCCTAGTTGGTCTGTTAGCATACCGCCGTTGTAGGTGACCAGGAGTTGAAAGCTGTTCCGGCAGAGGCTTCGACGTTCACCGATGTTAGCATTTTCGCATTGTGCTAACCGAGGGGATGAGGAAAAAGTGGACGAAATTGAAGAAAATTGGACTAAAAGAGGGCGAACCGTCACTGTCCAAAAGGGATCACGGCAGTGAGCATTAAATTTACGCATCGTATAGACCCGGGTAGAATAGGGTCAGCTCGATAAGCATAATGTGCTTGGCACGAAATACGAAGAAGAGGCCTGTGGGTGCGGATGGCCCTCGGAGAAACCCGCATTTTCAATATCAATACGAGAGGTCCGTTTTAATAGGGGAAAGCTGACAGCTTCAGCGATCTAAAGGCCTTGTGGTGAAGTCCATGCTGGAGCAGGCTGTACACCGTAGGCTGCTGCTAAATGTAGGCATGGGTATTCACTCAAATCGCACGTATAAATGTAAGGTGAAGTGCGATCGAACCACTTCTACTTTTCATGCTTTTAAGAATGATGGGTTGGTTACCTTCCCCGCTGGCTTTGCTAAGTTTTGTGTAGGAAAGCCAGCTGGATGCGATGCCGGATCCGTGGCTGCTGGCATAGACAGCAGTAGTTCGCTGCTTGCTTGATGGAAAAAGAAAGGCGCGGGCACAGCTTACATGCTGAGCCAAAAGAGGTTGAATCTCTTCTCTTGCAAGGTTCCTGTAGGATTCCGCAGGCAGCGCAATTGAGGAGCTGGCGACGCCGACTACCGGCGATGCCAAATCTAGCTAGTAGTGCCTAGGGCGCTGCTGCCGCTAGAAAGCGCCTTTAGGTGCTCGCGAGCGCGTCGGAGCGTAAAAGCTGACACCGCAGATTCCTGAAGGGACCCCAATCCGACTACATCGAGGACTGGCTCTCCTTCTCCGTCGGGAGACGCTGCGTTGGAAAAGCGCAGCAGACGGCGGTTGTACGCTCCGTGAGCTGCGGGCCGCGCTTCAAACCGCTCAATCTAGAAGCAATAGTCGCAAAGACGGAGGAAAACAGTGTAACGCCTCACGTACTATGTTACTGGCCGTAATAAGCTAGTACACGACATCGGCATTAAATCTAATACTCGACTCGTATAAGAGTGTCAATTCTTGTGGCCGGTCATAGCGACATTGGAAGCATGTTGACTAGGTTGTTATTGTCAAAGTGACAGTAGTGAATTATAGACAGGCGGGGGTGGACAATTCACTTTCTATATAATAGAACTTGCATTCAGTATGAACTGGAAGTATTGAGTAAAATGGAAAACTACTTACTTCCGTCCTAGCTGAGCAAATGCGGACTATTCAAAAGATACATTTGGTCGCGTGGTAAGTGGTCAGTTCTATTAGTTATCTAATCATTTCATAAGCTAGTCTATATAGTAGTTCCTATTTGCTCGGCCGCCATTACAATGGAAGCCCTGTATGACTTCTTTTGGGCTCAGTCGAAATTTAGTCTACAGATACTGTTATTGTTACACGACCTCGTCAAGGGTGGCGTCAATCTCGTGCTGGATTTACACTTCGGTTTCAGTTACAGATGCGTGCATTGCTCGTGTAGCCAATGATACATAGTTTGTGATGATGGATCTGCGGTAATAGTAATAATAGTAACGATAAGAGTCTCTATCGATGCGATGCTTAATATGTACGAATATCAACTACGCAGCTTACCGGCTATTATACTATTTCCCTATCCAAAAAAGCGCTTCATCCATGCATAATTTTGGTAATAAGGATTCTCTATCTATTTCTCAAATCCTTGTCCTCTGCTCTGCTATCAGTCTACTACGGAGCCGGCCAAAAGTGAACTGAGCGCCGCACAAAGGAGCCCCTGAAATCAATTGTGTTACGGGATTGACTATTGTTGCTTTATAGGAAACCATCCGAATGCTGCCGCCGGGAAAAGGAGGTACGCCGAGCGAACCGTGACAACTGGACAAGTCCATTTGGCCAAATAGACCTCGTTCGGCTTTAGGTCGGATTTAGGTAATGCGCCTCTTTTATTTTATTCTCCGGACCCCAACTCACGCCGGTATTGGTCATCACAATTACTTTATATGTATAGCCTCCAACTATGCTAAGCAGTACTTATTAAGACGAAAGAAGAAACAGCGAAGTAATAAAATGTCAGTACTCTTGACGGTGAGTTTTACCCGTTCCTTTCTCCCAACGCAGCTGCGGATGTGGGTAGCCTTCAGCCTGGCAGTCGAGAGTCGCTGACCGACTCACAACAACGTCTGTGTCCTTAGGCTCAATTGACCATCGAGGAGGCACTGAAATATCATAGATTTTATGTATGAGCTATAATGATATTGGCATTTAGTTATTCGTGAATTTACGGGAGTTGTTTATACAGCTTTAGGTTTTTTACTGTATTGGCGTATGGCAGGGTCACGTGAAACACCTCTAGGCATTCAAGGCATGCTTCAGGTTCGATGATTTTCATACATATGGCTATGAAAATGGTGATGGAATAAATATCGTCCAGAGCTAGCTCACTGAGTAAAATCATTTTAAACGCTTATGCTATAGTCTTCAAGAACAACAGTAAGATCGGCTGTTTGATTGGGTTCTTCACAGGACGCTTTTCGAATCAAGTAGTGATGGAACAATTACATGGCCTCTCGATAACAAAAAAAAGGCTACAAATGCAATTACAGTGGCATGTTTTTTTGCGCTGAAACAAAAATAGCTTCAAGTAAAAGGTAAATTTTTGATTTTGTTCTGCTTGAACACGTCGTGTCTAAAGTATGGAAGAAACACGGAAAAATAACACACTGACTGTGCATCTAGATGTTGTCAAGCATGTTCTATATGGCACTAGAAACACTTACTAGCGGGATAGTTCGCTTTTCCCAAAAAAAAAAACGTAGGTCACAGAATTAAGTCTTGAAGTGTTCTTTCACGGGCTAAACGTGTTTTGAGTTATTTATTAAACCTAGTCACCACAATATAAGGCTTCGCGTCCAAAAATGGCCATATTTCAAAAACAGATGTGCGTGCGTGATGTTAGAAGATATACTGCAGTATACCTCGCCTTCAAAGCGTGCGTATTAGTGTAGAGTCTACCGCTCACCATGAACTGTTAACGTCGACGTGTAATTAACCTGCGCAAAAGCGTTTCTAGCAATACAAGTATAGTCTCCATTGTGCCTGGGCTGAGCCTTCTCGATTGTAAGGGTGGCAAAATCATCTGAGTACTTTTGGACCCGCACCGAGTCCTCGGGCAGAGGACTTCCATTACGCAGCCATGTTACTTCAAAAGGCGCATCGCCATCGGCCACTGAGCAAGTTACGACAACCTTCATCCCTTCCTGAATTACTCGCGGGAAGGCGAAGGGCTGAAGAACGGGTTTCACTGTTTCAACAAACACAGACAAACGTGACCCTTAACAACTTTGGTCGAAACCTAGTCTAAACCTGTGAAAACAACGGTATTAACAAAAAAACGCAAAAACATTCTACCAGACATTTTAAATATGAATATAGCTAAGAGCCATTTAAGCAGGGGCCCTTTATGATCAATATGAAAAGCAATTCCTAAGGTTTAATCACAGTCGATTTTGTCACGAAATCTAATTATTTCAAAATCAATAAGCCTAAGCCAGATGTAGCAACTTCCGTTATCAAGTCACGGTTGCCACACAGATACTATCTTTTTTCAGTTTAAGTTATCATTCTTGCATCATAAGTCGCTGTAAAGCTGAATATATATATGGCATTATATTAGTTGTAACAAACATGCAAATTCTTTGGTCTAACCCATACTAACTATGCATTGTTTTTTTTTTACAATTTTTAGAATTTCATTGTCAATAAGTCCTTGGAATTAGGCCCTTTTTGGGTATAGCATCAAAAACTTGTTTCCATTTGTAGTACAACCGAAATAGATCGTGCTGTACTTATCTGGAATTTCTCTAGCAGAATTATAAAATGGCATGGCAACTATAATATAATGATAATGTCTTCTTTTTCGTAGTTCTTTGATTTTCCCGGTTATTAATGTCTGCTCTGCATTCCTAGTTACTAAAGCTTAACTTTCCAATACCAATTTGACTTTTTAGTTATCGTACTAATTTAAGCAAGGGCTTTAGCAATCATCTTAAGCGGTCTCTCTTTGCCGGCATCAGACACGCTTTCCAATTCCATGAACATCGCCATACAATCAGCTTACAGTAAGGTAGGCTGAGGTTCTGAATAGGAATTTTCACATTTTAGGCAACCCGTTCGAAATTTGACCTAGGCCAAAAGGGAGTATCACCTTCGACGTCGCTCTCTGACGAAAGTGAAGCGGCTGTAGCTTCCATTTGAGGGCGTCGGTAACAGTTAATATTCACTGTCAAATATAGTTGATTTAAAGAAACTTTTATTAAACTCAAAAAGCATTTATTTAAGATATCGATTGAGCCAAGCATTTCCTTGTAGTCATCCCGCCCCCCCGGGCCCTTTGCGCGATTAGCCGATACTAGTCGATGTATGTAGTGTAGTATGTGTTATAAACAAAAAAAAAAAAAACAAAGAGCCGGCCATCACGTTTCTATGCTAGTGTTGGCTAAACATTTCACACACGAATTGAAGTTCATTGAAGCAGGAGGAGTATAAAGGTGGGTAGCAATTTTCTGTCGGACTAGAAGAACAGCTTTTTCATTGTGGCATACAGCACAGGGTGACACACGGTCAGAGCTGACCTGTTTTGCTGGCCTGGAGACGCGCTCGAACAAAGGAGCCCTTGATATCCAGCGCCGTGTTCTGCGTGGCAAAACGTCCACGGAGGAATCATCCGCGCGCGTTTCTTAGAACTACTGATCGGAAAGCTTGATTTCAGAGTAGCGACTCTCCCAACCCGCTCCCTTTATTGCCCCGCTGTGTTGTCTGTACGGTGGCCCTGGGCGGCACAGTTCGACGGATGCAACAGCCAGCTCGTTACACACCGCCTGAGGCCACCAATGTTGTTGGTGAAGCAGGTAAAACCGCTGCAATGTAACGTTTCCGTTCGTATTGAAGGCAGACGAATCCAATAGTTGTAAATAAACATGTTCAACTTTATCATTACTTGCTTTATTATTCTCGATAGCGGGGCTCGAAACCTTAGATATCTTTAACATTAGTTGAAGTCTAGAATGTGACAACAGTTTTGAATTAGTCGAAGTGCAAACCGAACAACAGACATTAAACTGGGAATCCTGTGTTATTTCATGGTTTAGCTGTGTGAGGAACATCTGCTAAGGGGATTCTCCCTAATCAGAGCGTAGTGGGTATCCGCCGACAAATGGAAAATGAATCGCAGATTTATCATGTGATATTAGTCATGTAATAGCGTTAGGGATTACCGCTGAAGTAGGGCTATTTTCTGCGATTTTTTTTTATCCTTTGTGATCGTAGAATCGACTTTATCTGCTTAGACCTACCCTGAACTTTGACTCGCAATGTGCCGGAATCGGCGGTTCCATCCTTATTTCTTGCTGTGCAGCGATATAATCCTTCATCGCCGTTCTTCACCGCCGTAGCAAGTACCAGGGTCCCGTTAGCAAAAACTTGTTGGCGCCGATTTGTTGGGAGTCGTCGACCATCTAATGTTGTCAAAAAGATGACCAAATTGTGTACAGATAATTACAACTTTCCAACACTGTTTGCAACATGCTTTGCAATCTTTCTGCAGTTTGTAAAATTAGATCGAATGTTTTGTCTTTGTACCATTATTAAAATAAGCATAAGCCGGGCAAGCATGCTAAAGGCTTTTGGCTGACTAACCTTTCTCCCAGAAGATCTCCGAGATCGGATGGCCTGAATACGGACATTGTATTCGGACAGTCTCTCCGGCGACTATGTAGCGATCTTCCATACGACGTACGGTTGGAGGGCCACGAATATTGATCCGAGCTTCGTGCACCTTCTCGCCGACGTCACTTCGCGCAATGCACGCATAGAAGCCGCCGTCTGATACGCGTATGTCGGAAATATTAACATGCGACACAACGTCACCTCCTCTTCGAACGTAATCCCCTGCGCGAACGCGCTCATTATCCTGTACGGGTAGACCGTCGAGGGTCCAGGTAACCTGGGGCAGAGGCGTTCCCAAAGCGATACAGTGCAGACTCAAGCTACCCGAGCCAGGCTCGATTGTACGCTCCTTGAACGCGTCGGTAATCATTGGTGGAATTTCTGAGAGTTTTAAGTAGAGTCGAGCGTGGTGTCAGAGAATAGAACGCGTAAAAGAGTGTGTATATATTTGTTAATTTTGATTACCTCATAACTTTATCAAATTAAAATGATGTAGCTGCGGCACCGTAGTAGCAGAGTGCGCCAGGCGATCAAGCAACATTCAGGCCACTCTGTGATATTTGCTCGTCTTATTTCCAAACAAAATATCTATTTTTCTAATGAAGTGCAGTCTCCTAACTTTCTCACACCACGTTAACAATATCAACAACGCGTACCTCCTAGGACAATTTCGCTAGTGGCCTGCGCTGAGTCCTGCTGGTTTCTAGCGTAGCACTGGTAAACGCCACGTTCATTTCGAGTCAGCGATGGAATATGTAGTACGTGCGGTGAGATCAGCTGATACTTAGAGGACGAACTTGAGGTCTCCAGTCCCTGGAGCGGATGCAGGGGCCGCTGATCCCTCAACCACGTGATCGAATCCACTGGCCACCCAGAAACGTTACACGTTAGCGTAGCAGTTCGACCGGTCTCTACCTGGACTCGTTCTGGAGTTATGTGTACTGATAGTGGGGCTGAATCAATAATCAGACAGACACAAAGCGAATTTTAAATAGATACTTTTTGCCATATAAGAGACGACAATTAAACAATGTTAAACTCGATTGATTTCGTATTGTTACTTAGAACTGTTGGGCTCATGGGACATTTGTTCGGAAAATTTCTGTGAAAAGAAAGCTCTTCCAATGGAGAACAATCATGAAGCCTACTGAAATCGGACCGATTGTCACAGAAACGGTTCATTAGAAAACACAAGCGTAGGGTAAGTAAAAATATACTTCAGGCTGCGTTTACCGGGTGGCGTAGATGTTCGAACAGTTTGCTTTGAATCAAAAAATTAAGCAGTGTTTTTAAGCAAGATAGTTTGCGGAAGTAGATCTCATTCAAAATACACAATCGTATATGAAGTTAGTGTGAACTGCAATTCTTAGAAGAGGAACCCACTCTGGTGAAGGATGCGCCTGCCGACTAGCCAGTCTATGAGGTTAAGGTCAGACAAATGTAGGCATCGTGAGCCACTCTGCCAAGGTGATAAGGTCAGCACCATTACGAAAAAGACAATTTTGGATTTCTAGTGTCTTACATGGACACCCTGAACCTCGTTAGAATGTCAAGACTAATATTTGTCAAGCACGGTATCATCGGCAATTTCCGACCGCTTTTATTAAGATACACCAATATTTCCAGCAAACGACATTTATTACGTCGGCGCAACCAAAAAAACAACTGGGATTTAACATTAAAGTATTACTATTACCATATACAATATAGAACCGAGAAAAGGCTTTAGAAAATGCTACATTTCAACGACGGCAACTTTTTTCCTTTTGTCTTCAATGTAAATAGATCGGTCTTGACCTTAAGTTTTGGTAAGGTCATACTTAAAAAATGTAGCATAATATTTAATATTTGTGTGCCTTATACTTCTTGTTCGTTTTGTTATTTATTATTATCTATTATTATAGTTTTATAGCAGTTTTTGCGACTGCGAACGCCCTTTGTGGCCTTGATAAATAATTTCATCCCCAATTTACCTGTAACGGTGAGAGTGCTCTCGAGAATTTGTTCTCCGGCCGAATTGTTCACGACACAAACGTACATTCCACTATCTTGGATTTTCGTCTTAACAAAGTAAAGCGATCCGTCCGCCTGTATAACGCCCCTAGCCTCTGTGGCTGGCCGGAAGTTATCTTTGCGAAACCATCTGAAAGTAACGTAACAGGGAAGACCCACTTACTCAAAAAATGAAATATGTTTCTAAAGCGTATCTTTCTCACAGGATGTTGACCCAATGTAGGTAAGTTGATTATTTAGTTATCACCTGAAAAGTAAAATATGTGGTTTTCTTATCGCCATTACTTCACGAACTTCAGAGTGGCCTGGCTTTGACCTCAACAGAAGTATCGGGGTCAACTATATCCAATTGAAATCGGGAATCTGTATCTTTAAAGTTGGCTGGACGTACATGCGCACGTCATGGATATAATTACTGTATGTTGTTGTGATCCCGTTCTCTGTTTTTTATACTTTTTGAGATAATATATAATCTATAATATATAATAATGGTACAATAATAAAAATAAGTTTGTTATCTTTGAATCCTCCCTTTGCATCCTTGATTGTGAATGCATAGATATTCATCTGTGGTTCTCAAAATGCCCAGCCGGCAAAAATAACTCTACCAAATAGTTGACTTTCGAATATAAGTATGTATCATAACATTGAAAGTACCTATTATCTTAATAATATTATACTATTACACACAGGCTTTAAGCTGAAACAGCTTTTTTATTCATTGTCACTGTGTATGCAAAGTAAAGCTTAGCTGCAGTAAATAGCCTGCGGCAGCGAAAATATGCAGACGTTGGTGAGGGAGGGCCTGCCTAGCTCTCATAAGGCCAAATGAAATGAATATGGCACTGGTAAGCAGTTCACGGTGTATAAGCAACGCGGCCGCACCAGATTCATGGATGTCTGAGCGCGTGATTGAACGCTTATCTCGATGATACAAAAAAAGGGTAGGGCATTTTGACGTCCAGGCAGTGCTGGCGTAAAGGCTAATGGGTGACTAAATATGATAAGCTCCGTATTGGCTGTTAAGAGAAACGGACATGGGATAAAGGCTGCAAAGTTCAAAGCGTGCGTTCAGTATTGACCGAAACGATACAAAAAGAGAGCAGATGATGCGTTCCCATGGCTTTTCTTTTTATTTGATTTAAAAACGGGTCTTGTTTGCCGTTGATGACACACCATTTCTTTACATTGATTTGAGTCCTATGTCGCAGGCATGACATAGAAAGCTGAATGATATAAGGAACCTATTTTAACTAAACACAACATTGTTTCCTCGTCATAAATCAAGGTTTAATGAAACAATAAAATGAGTGCTCGAACCAAATGTAGAGACATATTTTTTCGAATAACCCCAATGCTCGTCTAGCGTCCATCATTGATTCATTCTGAGCGTTGTGTCTCCGATCTTACAGCAGAATCGATTAATCGTTTTTAGATGTCAGAACACGTCGTAGTTCCGTGCTTTTCCGTATGAAGTTGTCTTCATATTCTCTGTCACTTTTCTCGGGTGGATACGCGACCTACCTATATGTCGGTGTGGGGAACCCTTGTGCGACACAAGTTAGTTCCGCGGCAGAGCCCTCGTCTGTTCGTACTTGTGCCAATGTGTCCGACAGCCTCGGTGGATGCGCGCCCTGAGCGTCGGTGATGATCAGCCTGCCGGCTGTTGCACTTAACTGGGTCTCGCCGCTGAGCGCATGGCGCGTCCTACAGCGATAGCTTTTGAAGCCGTCCGCTATTGTTGCCTGCCTGATGTGCAATTCGCCGTGGGCCAAAACGCTATAGCGACCTCCTATAAAACATAGGCAAGACGGAGACAAGGATTAAACCAGAGCCTGAACACGGTCCAATGCATTGTGTAGTAAAGGACAAGATGTAACAATGATGTTTTGGCAGAAGCCGCATGTTCGGGCAGGGGCAGCGAAGGTGCTATTTTTTTTAAGGGAACGGTCTTGGTAAAACGCGCTATGGGATAACCTTTGGGCCTATTAATTGCCTTGCCTTGTTGCGCGACAGTTATTTGTTGTGTTTTACGAAGTGAATCTTTACTTGATCAGAAACGACAACAACGGATAAATTAGGATGTATGAAACATAATTATGCAAATGCTTTCATCGTAGGTATTGATTATCAGAGGATATGTATTTACTAATTACTCATATCTTTTTTTGGTGTACAAGCCACAAAATTATTATATCTATCTCTCTTTGCATGAGGCCCGATCACTTTATGCTGAATAGGGCTCAGTATCCATTTATTGTACAGCGAGTCAAAGTCTGTATGTGTAGCTATGGTAGTCCAGATTGTCGAGACAGAAAAATACACGGTTTTTGTGATTTTTTGATTGGCTTGCCTTGAGGACAAAAATTTATGTTGAAAACATCATGTAACGTATACAGGATGAGTTGTAAGTTATACAATTTGTTTTTTCATAAAACTTGATATAAATTTCGGTAAACTGCCGAACACCAGTAAGAAATTTGTAAAATATCTTCATTTTCAAAACAATCTGATATAAAGTCTTGGTTGATGATTTCTGAAAGGTATCGTTGAGCTTACGTTAGTCGCTTGCTTTAAACTTTGAGCGACGTCATACTCATATGGCACATTCAAAGCAACAATGGAATAGCCTCAATTAGGAGCTGGCTGTTTAATTGCACCGAACAATTGGCATAGGGTATCAAACATCTGGTAGAGGATTACATAGTAAGTAGATCGCAAAAGCGAAGTATTTGACTAGGTGAGTAAACATTTAATATAAAGTAATAAAGTTACTTAAGTAATACATTCGAACTGCGAACACTATATTACGCAGTAGAGGGACGAAAGGACTTGGGTAATTTTTTAAGAACTGGAATGGAACGATGGAAGTTGCGCAACAGAGGAGCTAGAACAGCTGCGATACTTGAAATTAGCTTAGGTTAAATTGGGAAAAAATTATATAGTAACGAACTGGTTGCATTCGCTATGTATCCGTAGCACGGATGACCCATATGGAATCTATGAATAAACAAACGAATTTCAAGTTAAAAATGACCGAATGTGGTACATATGTGGTACTGTTCGTCATCATACAGGTAGAGCGGCAACAGTAACGGATATTAGAAACCATAAATATGTTGTGAAAATATATATCCCTATATTATAAAACGATCATGCTTGAATACAGAAGGAGTAGTCTTGCTGCTCCTAGCATAGCATGGAATGATCAGACAAATATAACACTAGTGCGGGTCTCGGAACAGCGAACTTTTGGCAGTCTTCCCTGCTGTATCAAGGGGTTTCCTATTACACGCTCACTATTACGGCAAGAATCGATCAAGCATCGACCTCCTTTTGCTTTCCATTGTTATCGTTGACATAACAGTGTCGTACATAGAACGTAACGAACGTGACCGGCTGAACTTTACTCTTTTCGTTAGGGTCTCGGTGTACCCCTCAAAGCAGGAACTAACCCCATCTATAGATAATGTTTGATAGGACTCGCTGACTTAACGACCAGCAGAAGCCTGACGAGTGGGAGCCTAGCGAACAATCGCAATCCTTCAGAAAATTTCACCCTGCTGACCTTTTTTCCATCAGATGGGAGGATGAAACGAGTCGAAAACAAGGGAAAAACCATAAAACAACAATAAGAAAGGGCGTCATCGCCGTCGTCGGCGCGTTCTGCACATTTGATTAGAAATAAGAAGGTCCACGCGGAACATTGAAGGGGAAAGGTTTTCGGAGGCTGACAGCACAGTCCACTACGTCGAGTTGGCAGGACCCCCACTATTAAGCGACGGTTGTAGGTATAATGCGTGGATAGTACAAATGCTTATATAAGCATATATGGAGCTAGATATACGTTCCTATATGAATAAGAGCGCACGATGGTGGGAAGACATGTAAGCTACAAAAGACAGGATAATTATGTAGCTACTTCGATGGCCATCTGGCTGACCTTCTCTCGCCTGCAAGGTTTGGCAGCAATGCTACGGTAGGTGTTATATGGTAAACTGTGAGTGTTAAAGTTTAGATGAGAGTCGACGACTGAACCTGAACAAGATTAATCACTTCCTGCACGATTGCACTGTTGGCAGAACAGCCGAGGAACTCGTTAGGCGAGCTGCGGATAGTGACGATGACGAGCCGGGAGTGATAGGGGAAGAAACAAATGCTTTCCTGTGTTCGCTGTGGCCGCATGAATTTGGGCTGAGGGCAATCCGACGTTGGAGGTATACCGAGTACCTATCGAGCCAACGCAGGCCTCGGTACACATCGGAAGTCGTGCTGGTGAAAACTGTAACCGACGGCAGCGATAACGGGTTAGCCGCAATAGGTGAGCTGGTACTTGGCCGATTTCTGAACATGAATGGAGGAGTCAGGTGGAACAGGCGTTATGGTATCACGGCGTGATGATGTTTGTTGAAGGTGGTTAAAGGTAAGTTGTTTACGAGATGTACTCATATAGATTATTTCTGGATTAGGCGACATTGCACCAAATAAAAATATGAAGATTTATGAACAGCAGATATTATTACGTTTAGGTTTGTAGCACTTTTGTATACAATGAAACGAAGCTAAGACTACTAGGTCATTGCGGGAATAGAAGTCTCATCAAAAAATCCAAGGGCTCGTTGTCAGATCAGCCTAGATGGATAGGTGGCTAAACAAGAGGTTTTTTTCTTGGCCTTTTCTATGAATCTGTTTTTCGGCAAAATAAAGAAACTCCGAATCTTCCTTTCTACGTATCGGATTAAAGCCGAAGGGAAAAAGGGCGAATTGGGAACCAAGCTTCTGTGTCTCAGGTACCGCTTGTACTTGCCATTCGCTAGCTGACGCGATGCTCGTCCCAGGTATCGGCACTGTTAGTGCTTCCTTTCGGAAGTTGGCTAACGAGAAACAATGCGAGAGGGTGCAATGGTAGCGATAGTGCCATGTGCAAAATACAAAACTCTACACGCTTATACGCTGCCAGCGGCCCAGTGGCATGCGTACATTCTGTTTAGCCAGAATCGAACGCCAACGTCAAGTAATCGACGATTAACCTGACTGTTTGTTGCATACGAATTTTAAAAAGATTGCCCACTTTCAGCTACGTACAACCGGCCTTATTATACGTATATTTAGATATACGACCCGGACCGAGATACGGGAAATCTCTGCCACCACTTTACATCTAACTTTGGCTATGCGCTCGCAATCTCTGTTATACTACTGCTGTTATACTACTGCCTATAGCTTCGTTTTTCGAACAGGATCAAATAAAATAAAGGAGCAAGCCGTACTAAGTTATAAAGGAACTTGTTGTTCGTCAGTTTTATTCTGGCTAAGTTCGAGAAAAGAAGTAAACATCATTTGGACAACAATTGATCTCTCCATCGATGTTTCGTTAGTCACAAGGCGACCCCATCTCTCCCAGGTCTTTTGAATTGGATCAACAACAAACAGAAACGAATCAGGCCCATCGTATACAGGCAGGGTGTATCAACAATTTTCAAAGTTCATGCGCGACGCGCGCTTCTCATAGCTCATTACAGTTGTTCCTATTTGTGTCTTCGTCTTCTGTTACATAATTACATAACGATTCGTGTTACAAGTTCGTGCAACACGTCTTTCCAAGAACTTTTCCGTAGAGGTACATTGTGGGTTAAGCATTATATTTATTTACGAATAGCAGGCTTCACTTCTAGGCCTTTGCCAGAATAGTGTGGTACTTTGGTCGGCATTTCAGCACTCACTAAATCAACATTTACCTATGTCTCTTGCATTGGCACTTCTGTTCAATGCTACTGCGTCTCGACCGTTAGCTAAGTTTTTTATGTTCCTGAATACATTCGTATATGTTTGTGTCTATGTCTAAACCGAAAATGTTGTCAACTGGTATAGTATAACAAGTCCTCCCCATGCGTTTGGTTTGGGTAATATGAAAGATGAAGGTAAAAAGGCAACAGGTTAGGTCAGTTCTATCATGGTCGCTTAGATCACTATTATGAGACGTCAAAGTCAGAGGAATGACGGTTCGAGTAATTCGAGCCGTTCGCAAGAAGGCAGCCAAAGAGTTTCGCTTGTTAATCAAAATAGCAATCGTTTCGTCCTCCTGAACTCCTTTCGTCTCTAGAGGGCATCTGTTTCCTTTCAAACGAACGCGCGTACCCTACGACTTGCTTGAGGCTATATAGTTACTTCAATTCTTCTTCCGGGCCTTGCCAATGTGGCCTAGTCCCTGTAACCGATCGCAATGGATCACGTACACGACACACGAGCGAGTTACATAAAAATAACCTGTTTCACGCGTTAAAGCATCATTTGCCCCGGAGCAGAGTGCGCATAATGAGGAAATCCTAGAGACACATTGACATCTGTGCCATATATAGTAGAATGTCCCGATATCGAGAAACTGGGAGCGTGAGGATTTTGTTTGCATAAGAATTAACTTCTCCGTAAACATTGTTAGGATATTAAAAAAGTATGTTCAGGTTTGTTTTTTTATAGTACTTTTTTTTGCTGGTTCTATCCTCAGCCTAAGCTGTGCTTGTATATTTGAAAGGACAGATATATTCTACGTAGCCTAGTTCCTTCTGTTATTAGTTTAATATGATTACCTTGACATGGGCAACACCCTATGTTTCAACACAATAATAGTAGATTCCTTCTTACACTTACTAGTATTCTGAAAGGAACACCAAGTTTGAAAGTTCTTGGGACTTCAGCAGTTCGCCTTTTTCCAAACCATCATCATCATCCGTATATCAGTAATAGGTCTAATAAGTCCTATTTCATCCTTCTTACTTTGACTAGTTTACCTTGTCAGGTTATGTTTTGCAGCGACTTAGGCTTTTGCAGACCTCCCATAGGATTTGCAGAAGGCACCGTCTTGTCTTTCTGGCCCTACTGCAAAATCGGCTTGCCGGCCTGCGGGCTCGATGCCCCAACCCTCGACTATCCGTCGAGAATTGATTCAAGATAGCTTTTGTGGCGATTAATGTATGATGAACTTGAACACGCGAGGCTGCCCTCTTCCAGTGGGCTCTGATGAGGAATGGAGAGCTTGCTAATTCAACTACAACACGTTTAATAACAATAACAATTTTCGAGGATGCCAAGCATCACCCATCAAGGCTGCTGTTCTTTGAGTTGTACGGTTGAATGAGCTGTTGGAAGCAGTCGGCAAACGCGCCTCTGCTGCTGAAAATGGGGCATATGCCTTCATATAATCGCTATCTCCCCCACCGTCAGAGAGGGCCATACACTATTACAGACGCCTTCAATTGCGTTAAAATGCAACAGATGGCGGTAATCCACAACCGATTAAGCTGGTAATGACTAAGAAATTGGTAGCTTTTTTTGTGTACCTGTGTGAGGCATATCTTCTCACATAAGTCCCAAATGAACGAATAAACAATGAAAAAATATGGAACATATGTCGCCTTCGAACAATAAACGCTTAAGATACGGGAGACTCATTGAATTTTCTCTTGAACTCTCGTTTCATAGCCTTGGTCATATTAGAACTGGACTTACCACTAACGGCCAATTTGACCCTTTTCAAGTTTTTAAAAAGTCCATGTATTTAAAAATTATTACATTGCCATCAGACTTCAGGACATGGAAATGCTACTGAAAGATCAACGTTCAGTTATAAAAATAATTTGACCGCGCACGGTTGAGGTAGCTATACACGACGTGTGTGTAGCTTTAGTCTTGAATAAATAAAGGCGAATAGCAAAATATAACTTACCAACGGCGACATTAGAGGTAATAGTGACCCCATCTTCGCGTTCCCACGTAACCACAGCTACATAATCTCGAACGTAGCTCGGGATGTGACATCGCAGCACTGCCGTGTTACCGCTGATGACGAATTCGTCATAAACTTGTACTTCATACCGTTGCGCAACAACTGCAAATGCAAATAATAACAAACGCTAGATTTTTTCTACATTTTTTTTTTTCATTAAACGCTAAACATGGTTTCTTCTTTTGTGAACAACGTCGAGACGATAGGAATAACCGGAAATATCAGAGTCTATCGTATTTGATTGCATTCTTTCTCGTACTACAATATTACACTAAATAATGCCGCTAACATGGCAACAACTATGATCTGCTGATCCGACAAATTTCTGTTTACTTATGTCTTGGTTCTTTCCGATGAAGCTTTTGTCTTTTTCTAACATTGAAGCGACTGCCCACGGTGACCGCTCCCGCCGGGTTCGCTAACAATAACGTAAGTCTTTACTATTAGCTACTTTACCTATTTTGATTTATACGACTTCTAAATAATTTTCTGTTTGGTCGCGTGAGAAACTAACTTCTATTGGAAATAGGTCAATGGGTAATACCCCTTTGAGGTACGCCCGCAGAAGCGACTATAGGAATTTAAGTTTTTGAAACGTTGTAGTTCCAACTTAATAACCTACGCTTGTGATCAGTAACAGACGGTAACTTCTAGTCATACTGCGGTAATAAAGAGTGAGTTCAAAATTTAATACACATTTGCGAGCTGGTAATGCTATTTTTTTTTATTTTTTATTAAGTGGGAATACAAAGCTTTGTAACAGTCAATTATGACAGTATCCACAACTAATAAACTAGAAAATCCACTTAGATGTTTCTCGTCTATAGCTCGTTGAATATTAATGAACCTCCTCACGTAAGTTTCTATTCAATTCAATCTTGCCTCAAAAAATCGAAAACATGGATATTTTATACGAACACCTCTATTCCATTAATAATCGAATCATAACAAGTGCAGTGGCAAACCACGGCTAAGTTTTTAGACACGTGTGTTCCGTTTTTATCCTTATCCAAAGAACAGAACAGGGAGATCTATGGGGTTCCTTATGTACGTGCACATTTTTGGGATTGTTATGCTAGGATGCCGTTTACCCTTCTCGCTATATCCTATATTTGTTCTGTACGTCGTGGTGGTAGTTATATTATCTCGGGCTCATCGTTTCAGTATCTTCTCAGGGCTTTTTCCATCTTGCTGGAGCCAATTGCCATTCCATTTTTGCTTTTTCCATGTTACGTACATAGAGCTAACGTACCAACAGCTACAGCCCTTTTGATATGCCACCTTTGGTACCCCAAACCCGATAGCCCAGTGGCATACGGATTGCAAAAACTAGGGTTTATATCCACATACTTACACCTAAATATATATAGATATATATATATATATATATATGTCTCTGTGTGTAGGAAAGAAACATCAAAGAACCAATCAAAGTACGACAAACGTGCTGTACACATGTATAAGAGAAATATCATCCCATCTAAGCTGGCTGACATTTCCGACTGCAATGGAGAAGTTCGTCGCTTATAGCTGCAATTGTCTACATTTCACCGAACGAGTTAGCAATCAATAATAAACGAGAGTGCCCCAAGGGCACTGAAAGAATATTGAGGGCAAGAAGAAGTTAGTGCAGGAGAAAACACGCGGCAGCTATATATTACGATAAAGAACACTGGATGAACTAATAGCCGTTGAAATAACGCTGACGGTCATGGTGGCCGTGTTCACGTGGTGCAACAGTTTATCCTTTCGAGGAGGGCAAAATAGCTGAGGGGCGATAGCCAAAGTTTACTTAAAGAGCATATAGACTGCGCCTGCGAGGAAGCTAGCACTGCAATGCAATGTCATTTGCGTAGATGAAAGTAGAAGGAGAAATAAGGCGCTTAAACCAATGGTTTGTTTAATCAATTTGTTAAGCCTTCGAACGTTTCACCCGAGCCTAGCATACCGAGCAGGTTCTATATAGGGAAGCTGAAAAAATCAAGAAGGATTTTAATTAAGTAGGTGGCGTAGAGGAAAAGTGAAATCGGACAAGAAGCTTACGTGATGCTTAAGACAGCGTCGCATTATTATGATTATTGAGATGAAGAAATTTTGAGTACAGAACTTAGAAGAAGTTCCGTTTTTCAGATTTCCACCACAACGTATGCACATTCAAAATAGTTATATAATTGTAAATAATTGGACCACTGTACGATTACGAAACTCAGTAAAAGTAAACGTTTATAAACGATCAATTACCGTTTTTAAAAATCCATTTCCAGCAAAGCTGTATCTACTGCATATCGGTTCTTAATGCCCACTTAACTGCCTAGCCAAACATTTTAGTTAGCGGCACTGTTTTCAGCCCTAGGATTACTTCAAAGTTTGTTGTAAGCGGGTGCGCAGGACGTTAAACATAATTTACAATCGCTTTTTTTGTTTACTTGGCGTACCGAACATCTACTATTGTTGGCACCGCAAGAAACCCGGTTTTTGCTAGAACAAAACTACAAACTCATTATGGGGGAGGCAAGAAGTTTGCGTTCGGAATATGGCGGTTCCCAGATGTGTTCACGCTGGACGAATTGCCATTAAGACCATAAATTTTCCGGAGAGTTTGAGTTCGATGATCTACGTTGTTTCCGATCTTTACGCCGCTCCAACAGAATTCAAAGCAGATTTGGAAGGGACAAGGTGCTAGGTCCGCAATAGGGATTAGATTGAAAACGCGTGGCGCAAAGAACCATCTTACATCATTGCTGATGTTCGGTATAAATAAAACCGGTCATTTTTGAGAGACGGGTATCCATCGCCCATCGCGTCTTACAGAGCCGTAACGACTGGGCGTTATCCGCCATATAAATTTTCATCTACAGTCAACTCAAAAACTAAATTTACTAGATTCTGTTTATATCGGGCGTCTTTGGGTTACAGTTTAGTATGTCTACACATATCGATATCGTCTTACTTCTGGTTAGTAGTAAAAAAATTACTCGTGAACATGTAGAAGGGATTTTTAAAGTCTCTCGTAAGCGGTATAAGTTCAGAATATTAAACTAAAGCACAGTAGTATTAAATAGATGTAAATTTAATCGCCCATATATCTGTTTTTATTCAAATGCAACTAATACACGAACGACATCTATCTGGCGCTATCACTGACACGCTGTGTGTTCCAAGTATATCGCATGACCAATCACGTGCACTGCGATTCACCCACTGGTTGCATTCAGGTACACAAAGCCCAGAGGCCGACAGAGGGAGAGGGAGAGAAAAAAAGGGAAGAAGAAGTTCCTTTGTTCCCTGTCAAACCCCATTTTCCAGACCATTCGGTCGGCGTGGAGAAGGATGCTTGAGCGTCGTGTTTTCGCTGTGCCCCACGCAGAAGCGTTCATGCTCTATTTAAACATTTGCATACTTGTACGTACGGTCCTCTCTAGACTGCAATTACTTTGTCCTACCAAGCACTTGGAAGAAATCGTAGTTCCTACAGAGGCAGCGGATGCGCGCAGTACTCCATACACACTGTGCAATATACCCCCACTGAATATAGAATCGGCAGATAAGAGCTTATCAACTAGAAACAGGATAGCAACCAATGAATGAATTTGACGTATCCTGACGAAAACAGGCGCCGGTAAAAGATAGACCATAGGATGCATAGAATGGCAGTTTGTTAGAGTGATACCAGTCCTTCTTCGCATCATTTAGTGGCAAAATTAATTATTATCCTTGTTTACAAAAAGGATAAAATGCAAGCTAAATTATACAGTAGCATAGGATATGTCTTAGAGGTAAAATCGTGAGGTAGATTTTTCAATACTAGACGATTTTTTTTATACGGTGATAAAAAAGGAACGCCATGCCAGAAGACGCTACGAACGCAAACGCGTATTATGTTCTATAGCAGGGTATGGTCCTTCAAACTACTCTTTATTAACTGAATTTGCACAGCTAACACTGACGAGATGGCAGCTTAGGAAAACACGCAGCTTTTGAGGCTGCATTACTAAAGTCCATTTTCAAATCGTAGCTGCCGATGGCATATCATTAGATATTCGTATATAAATTGCTTCTACATGTAGCGAAATATAGAAGAAAAACTATCCCATGTAAATAGAAGAGCTACTCGGTGATCCGAGACAAACTGTTTGCAGCAAACTTACCAGCTCTTACACGGACATCCCTCGAGCCTGTTGTTCCAACGGAGTTTGTCGCGACACAGCGATATGTTGTTGCATGCACGTCCTGCCGATAACGATTTGCCTGGAACGACTGCAGGTAGAGTGTTCCGTTCGGGAACGTCGTACGTAGGTTGTGTACGGTAGTCACGGGCTGTCCGTCCCCAGCTGTCACCCACTGAACCGTCGGCGATGGAATGCCTGCCACCTGGCCGCAGTGAATAAGAACACCCGCCGTGTTAACGAAGTGAATTCGGGACGCCGGCTCCGAAAGGAACCGTGGCGCTTGCTGATTCGATTCTACGCTTCCACCATAACTCGAATCGCCAGGATAACCTAGAAAAGTCATCGAAACGTTAGTTTTACTATGGATAAAACGCAAAATAAAAACGATTATTATTATTATTATAGTATATAGAGAAATGAGAATACACTGCAGCTTATTATTGATCGATTTACACTTACTGCTACAATTTGTCGGAAGCAGCATGCGACACACACAAAAGAACTGTCTGTTTGAGTATTAATTCATAACGTGCCCTATAAATAGAGATCCTACGACCATGGATTTCAGCCCCGCCTAAGCTTATGTTTGTCTATCTTATTGCAATATACGACACTTACCCCTGTTATAGTATAACATGGATTTGCTACGACTGAGACTCTCATTGGAAAAAGTGAATAGGTACAAACATGGCATTAGGGGCTTATAACTGAATGACAACAATTCTTACTCAAGACGAGCATCTTATACGCGTGTATCCGTCAAATCTTGCTGCCTTTCGAAGCTTTTAGATTTTCTCAATGCCGCGCCTCGCCGAGAAAGCTACGACGTACGTCAAACGTTTTACGGTAGCCAAACCACTGCCAACTTTTCTACGACGGCGGAGATTACACACTCTCATAGTTAGTTCATATCAATAGTTTGTGTAGGTAGCTGGTCGTAGATGGATGGAGTTAACTTTCACCACGACTATCAGCCATTCGCAGAGAAAGTCTAACTATCCCTTTGTCCGGAGCAACGCTGAAGCCGAACGACACGGTTTGAATAGACACAGAATCGCTCCTCCCAGGAGGCACTCTTCTCTGCTACTGTCTTTCAAGTCATTCTGGGCAATTAACGGTCGACTAAGCAGTTTCCTTTGCATATCAATGATTGCATTTGCCGCCACTATACTGACTAAGCCCTCGTCCCGCAAGAACCTGGAAGGGAATGGCGTAGAGGAATACCGTTTACGAAATGTACGCTAGAAAGGTGAGCCAACAACAAGTAGGACTGCTTCGGGTCACGCCGAACACTTACAGGAAACGAAAAGAAAGAAAACGGTGTGGCTTTCCTTATTTCTCCGCTAAGAACTTTTCAGCGCGTTACATATCGTCTATTGTACAATGCTACAAGTGAAGTTGCTATTACCACGTTGTTTCACCCTCGCGACTAGCTGTTAGAATAGTTGTTCACTCTTTTCTTCTCATTGGCTCGATTCATTTAGATAATTGCCGTCCCATGAGATTTTCACACGACGATAAAGGGATCTCCCTGATGTTTTTAGAACAAAACGAATCTCGCACGTCGGCATCGGGTATCGAATCACTCGACTGGCCGGTAGCGAGACGTTCCACCGTAGCACAACTGTATACTACTGCGGGACACTCTAGTAGATCTCGGAGACCCGGTAACGCTCTGGGATGCTAGACATTTCGGCATCGTTAACCGTGATGAATAGCATGCTTGATTGGAAAAAAGAAAGGATGGATTTGGGGAAGAAGGCGATGTGGGTGACGTGGATACGGTAGGCTCCGCTGGTAGAAGGCTAAGGGCAGTTACACAGAGACGTCCAGCGAGGCACCAGCTAAGGCAAATTGCGCACGCCGACGTAAACGATATATCTGCAGCACATCGTTCGTCGGCACCGCGCCAGACTTGCAATGGCGTAGATTCTCCAATTTACGAGTCTCTTTTGAGACTGCCATTCGTTATCCGGCCACGGTGTTGTCGGCCCACGGTGTTTCTACGTCGAGCCAACCATGAACGAGACGCTGTGTCGACAACGACGACAGCGTTACATGTCTGTAACGGGAAAAACGAACAAGCCATCGTTCAGGCTAACACCCTGACACCCCAACTATCATTGAGGCACGCCTTGAGCGACGTTCTTGTCTGTGCGATGTGCACGTCCTGTTGCAGACAGACTGAGCTCGTGGCTCTGTTTGGCAGTACAGAGCCACACTGTGGAGAGACCCAGATTTAAGTTGCACAGCTCTGCGCATCTCGTGGAAAGCTCTTGGATATAGGGGCCATTGCTGACTTTAACCAAAGCTAAAGAAGCATTGGACCACCCACATAAGTCGCAACCGTTGAACCACTGCGGCTTCGTCTTCTGCTGTCAGTGAAGAAGGCAGTCCGCTGATTGCCGCACATGCGAATGAGGTCGCTTAAAGGATTTTTGAAACTAACTTTTTGCCTTGCTTGGCTGAACACGTTCATGGAAAACGCTGCGAATAGCAGCATTAGAAGTAGCAGCAATCTCGGGAGCTCGAAAGTGGCCATTTGCTAACGCCCTTGCATCCCTACGGCTGTTATACTGGGAGGCTTGACACTAGAAAAACTGAGTGGGTATCCGACCTTGAGGGACATTCAGAGGATGGAAAGGTCGCAGCGGCAGCGCCAATGACAACGAAGCGGAAGCCTTTCGTTCCTCAGAAACCTTACTGGCAAGCGACGCAAGCGTGCAGTAACAACAACTGTCGCAACCCAAAGTGCGTAGCTACTACGTAACATCACGCTGTAGACAGGGCATCTGCTCAGTCTTTTTTCAACCTTCCGTTTCCTCTTAAAGGCTCTACTGCCCCTATAGAGGAAGGACTGCGCACCGATCGTGTGCACAGTTCTGTGGAGTATTATCCCCCCCCTCCCCCCCACCCTTAACCAACGGCCCAGTTGAGCTCAGAGGCTCTACTCTAGAATCGTTCAGTCATCTTGTTTTAGCGAAGGCGATGATGACTTTGATTTTCGCGTTAAAAAAGGGCGTTAAAACAAAACTTAGTATTAACTGTTGAAGTCGCTGGCTACCCACAGCCGCAATAAAGTATCGTGGGTGTAAATATTAGCGTCAGATATGAGTTAGATGTGGTTTTCTATGGTTGGGACATGTGAGATGTAGGGAGGCTTTTTCGAGCTTCATACAGATATAGTGCGATACTAACTTTTTAAAATCTTACTGACCAAGAGAGGAAAATCAATAATTGATAAGAGGAGGGTTAGTAATAAAACACTGAAAATGCACCAAATTAATAACATATTTTAGCAAGTTTTAGCCATTACATCATCAACTAGCTACAGCGTACTGAGGCTTTCCAGTGGACCCTTAAAATATCAGAACCGATACGGCTCTGCTTTCCCTAATGAGCAAATCTAAATTTGCAAGTTGTAGTGCCCTTCAGGTGTGACGTGGCGCCCACTTGTGAGTCTTGCTAATTATTCATAATTAATCGGTCCTCAACGCCAGCTTCATACCGAAATCGAGTTGTGTTCGTATCTGGGGCGCTTGAGGTACTCTGCAGAACAGCTTCAGAGATCACTAAAAATAAGAGTCTCACAAAAAGATACTGAAGACAAGAACCGGCAGGATGGTGGTAGTTCAGCGATAATAAAATGTTTCTCTTCGGCATCTTCCATTCAGACATGTCTATAACATTGCTCCGTCTCGTAGACAATATAGAAAAAATTAGCGATGGCGGACATAAATTGGTCCTGTCTATTAGTCATAGTGTTATTAATTTTTGGTGTAGTACAATCTAGTCCATTTAGCAACGGTTGCTAAATGACAGTATGAACTAGCAGCTATTGCTTCTAATTAGTAAAATTATAATTATTAGAAGAAGCGAAAGCGGACTGCTCATAAATTGTTCGAGGAATCCCATTAAACTAATACGATATTTATCTTACGCGAGGTTAGTGGCTATATAACCACACTATGACGTTGACACCTAATCAGTATCAGCTTATGATAGTTCATACCCGTATTTTTCGCCAATGATATCAACGAAAAACTCTGTTTCTCTCGATAGAATTTCTCAATACGAATGTAGTTTTGCGGTTAACCAGGTACGTAAATTTCACAAAATTCAACCCATCGATTCGCTTTTTTTTCGCAGACATAGCATTGACTTGAATTCCATTTTTAGTTCATCTATGTACGCACATGAAAGCACATACTATCTCGCTAGTTATATGTAAACCTCTACCACATGAGCGCATCTAGGCCTTGCGTCTACCTTGTCTATTCCATTAGCACCGTCTTTTTTCGAAACGAAATCCCACGATTCAGAACTATCTATCCATCAATCTCGATGAGGTTCCAGAATCTACAAATGGCTACGTTCTATTTGTTGGCAGACGGTCGATTTCGCCGTCTCGACGAAAGCTTCACCTGCTCAGGTACTCTCGTGGCAGCAGACGCTCCGCTTACTTCTCAAATATCAATGTATCGACATAAATTCTGTATAGAAGATTTTCGAAGAGGTAGCGCCCAGGCCTGGCCAAGCCCAGTGGTCCTGTAACCGCCTTCCTCTCTCTCTTTGTCCCTTACCCATCGATGGTTCTTCCATACTGGAGCTTCCCATAAATGAATTGAGAGACACCTGTTAGCTGTTAAGATTTTCTTTCTCTTAAGGCGCTTTGGCCTAACATGTGATAATTTTCACACCACTGCCACGACCAATACACAACTGCATCATAGCAACAGCGCCAGTCCGTACGGACGGACGCAAATGTGCAGATCCATCGAACAGACAGATCAACAGAGAGAAAGGCGCCAGATACGAAGCATGCCAAGCTTCCGTACGTACTAACGTAGGTGGTAAGATAGAATTAACATGGTGTGTTTCGAGTGAAACTTTAATTGAACACTGGAACTGTCTCGGCACCGTTGACGCTTCCAAGGATACAGACGGTTCGCTACGTGCATTCATCCATTGGCTCTCACCTCTATGGTAGAACTGATGGAGTCTGTGTATAAACTCTACTAACTGAATTGGTAGCGGCAGAATGTGCAACAAGTACATTGCTAGCAGGTCAAAAGCGTGTGGCAGGACAGCACGACAAGACAGGGCCGGCCTGGAAAGAACACCCCCGAAGGCCTCAACACCGAAAGGGATAGAGAGAGTGTAAGGAAAGCAGAATGAAAGCGAGACGATACAAAAGACCATTAATCTGAACTCCTTACACTACATTTAACAGCGGAGGTTCTAGCAGAGAAAAGGGCAGCAGAGGTGGCAGCAGACGCAACTGAGGCAACCGAAGACGCGTTCTTCGTCGTTATGGTGGGTGCAGCAGA